TGATTGGCAGCAGTTGAAGTTGATTAAGCCAAGTTAAAGAGGTTGTTGAGATTAAGCGGGATAATCAATTGTGCCTGTTAGCTGCATGAATTTGCGGTATTTAGTTATGCACTTTTTCTGTCAACAGGTGTACGAAAAAAAGGTCGAATCATATTGCCGAGCAATTTCTTATCAGACATGTTTTAGTAGTGCAATATCATGGCCCAACTTCTGTGTCCACCCACGTAGCAGCAGCAACTTGTGTATGCCAGGGTACACCAGAAAGGTGGAGAAAACCAAAAACAAAGAGCCAATAAAAATGTTTGCCAATTGCCACTATTTTGAATTTTTTATCCATTTCCATATGTTTTATCGGATCGTGTTGCCAATCAGCTTGCCAAATTGCCAAATAGCTAGATTGTCCGCATGGCAGATCTGTTGTGGTTCCTATTAGACATTTGCGAATATCGGCGCGATCGGCGTTGCTAATAAACAAATGCCAACTGAATTTTGATTGGTAGTTAGAGGTGTTTGTTGCCTTTTTGAGTGATAGAAATCTATTCATTTCTCCCTAATGTTCAATTAGCCATCAATATGAAATGCAATTGATGATGATGAATAAATCATCACACCAAAATGAATGGCTGCTTTTAAGCGATACATCTAAATGCAGTTACTTTGAGCATGTGACGACGATTCGGCGAATCGAGCTGAAAACATGCTGAGCTATATATATAATCCAGTTGTTCTATCTCCCAGTTGATGACAGCAGTCAAGATCCAGCTGAGGCATTAAAATACCCTCTAAATGTTGGCAGAGCAGAGACTAACGACTCGAGTCAGACGACTGTGATCAACTGGCTTTGATGAGAGGAAGAGATAGACAAGCAGATAGAGAGGCTTTACTCAGTTAGAGGGTATGTCTGTACTCGGTTTACAGTTAGCTGATATAGATATATAATCTAAATACAATATACTTTGACGGCAAACGGAGGGGTCGGGTCGGAGCCCGAACAATAGTTATACAATTTACGTAGTACTCATCGCAAGAGTTCCGCATCTAAAATCGAATCGAATAGAATCGAATTGAAACGAATTGAATCGAAATGATGTGCTAGTTCAATTGAGCTGGCAAGCACAAAGAAGAAATCAATTTGACAATAAACTAAAACTACGAAAATAGAAGAACAACAACAGAAAGCAAATAAATAAAACAACTGCCGCGTTTTGTCTGATTTTACGGTTTAGTTTGTAGTTTCTAGTGCAATTTAGCAGCTAGTCAGCTTTTCAAGTAATTAGCTTCGTCAGCCTGTCTGTCTCCCTGTCTTCGTCTCTCTGTCTCTCTGCTGACTTTGAACTTGACTGTGGCTCTGGCTCTGGCTGTGTTCATTAAGCTAAATTGCGCTCGTCTCACTTGTCTTTCCCGTACAACGGAACGTATGCGCAATGCGAATTTGGGAAACCATTATTGCTGAAATCAACATAATCTTATTACCTGATTGTCAACCCTAACGGCTGGTATTAATAGAAAACATAAAAAAAATAAATAAATAAAAAATACTATCATCGGCTACTTTGGTTCCCTTTGTGTTCGGGTATGCGATAAGAAAGTTAATCGATTTCATCATTGATAGACTATTCAAAAGCCACAAATTGAAATATTATCGCTGTGAAGTGCTAAAAATCATTACACAAACAAACACACACAGATACATATATAGGTCTTTGTTTATATATGAAGTCATCGACAACAAATTTTTCGATTTCGGATTAGATTAGTTTATTATGGTTGCTTTTTTTTTTTTTTTTTTTTTTTTTTTTTTTGTAGCCCATGGATGAATCAGGCAGCATCCATATATACAAAACGATTTGTTGTATCGATAAATAAACAGATTGATCAATGTAATTATGTCTACATTTGGGTAGTATCCATATATCTACTCCAGCTATCTTTAATAAATCTCTGTTTGCTCGAAACTAGTCTCTTCTTTAACTGCAAGTCAGACAATTCTATCTGCTATCGATAGTTTCTCAATGTACTAGTGTTGGATACAGGAACACTTATTAGATATGAATATCTATCTAATCTATCTTTTCCCACAGTTATGCTTTAGCTTACGTTTCAGTATTCATATTTTAATGTAGATTTTTTGTTTGTTTGCAGTGTTATGGTCAATCGATAGTTTCTCATAGTAGTGCATAGAAAGAATATATAATCTCATATGAAATCTCTCCCATTGCTTACTACATTTCAAAATGAATAAACATTTTATCACAGCGCTATTATAAATCGATAATTCTACAGAATGGTATATCGTAAAATAATTACTACTAGGTTATACTTCTGTTTTACCTTACAATGCTTCTATTTTTTTTTTTTTGCATTGTTATTGCCTGTCGATACTTCCTAATTGCTGATTTACACCATATGCGAGGAAGTGTGCTATATATCAGGTTATATAACCTGAAGTGCATTAATGTTGTAAATAAACACGTGCCAATACTATTCCAGTGAATTTGGCTCATAGCAATTCCCATTAAGCCTTACACTGATTAGATTATGCTACTTTTCAGATATTGTATCTCGCCTTGATTTTTTTTTCTTCGTATATATATATTTTTTTTATTTACACACTGGTTTTGAAGGTGTGTTGATAGACATCTGTAGAGCTTTGGGCAGCTATCATTAATTTTTCGTCTACCTTAATTGAGATGTATAGAGTGTAATAAATATGATCTAAAATCTAGACAAGTGATACAAAATCTAGACAGCTGTCATATTTTCATAAGTCCCTAACAAAGTGCGTGCTATCGAAATGAGTCAACATGAAAGCTGTTGTGCTGAATTCGAAACTGACTATTTATACTCATTTGCGATAGTCAAATGAGTATATAGGGTTAGTGCAATGTTCGTCTTTCGGTCGTTAATTTCCGGTACAGCAATATTTTGATTTCTTTAAGAAAGAAACTTGTCAAATTGAGAGTGAGAGAGAGAGAGAGAGAGAGAGAGAGAGAGAGAGAAGTCTGCGTGAGTGGGACAGATGAGAGAGGAGATCAATAGACAAAAGATGATATCTTGAGGATTATATTTTTAGATAGCTTAACAGTATTTCTATAAAAGAAAATGTCATTCCACTCTAACAGCATATCAAAATTACTAAAAAAAAAAAAAAAAAAAAAAAAAAACAAATAGAACTTTACTGATTTCAGATTTCACTTTAGCATATCTGTTTCTTGGTAATAAGCTTTCATTAAATTTATTTTGGGGACTTTTGTGGAATTGATTAACAAGATTTGATAATATTTGCCTTATCATTGTCAATTCTATAAATAGAATTCAATTTTGAATGGATTTACAGCTGGCTTCTGTCACGTGACCATGTTACGGATCCACTTTGCTGCATCTATATACATATGTATATGTATTTGTTTTCTGTTTTGCTGGGTGTCGCTGCCGCAACAACAACAGCAACAGCAACAACAGTGACAACAATCGATTCCAAATCTAATCAAACAACCTGTCAAATGTCCATAAACTTGAAAAGCCCCTTAAGCCCAAAGCCTGGCCAAGCGGCTGCAGTGCGATTGTATTGGATTATTTGGCATAGCTTGGCAACAACTTGTTGCTTGTTGTTTCGGTTGTTTTGGTTGTTTAGATTGTTTGTTGTTTGCTGTTTGGTGTTTGTTGTTGCTTGGTCTGTTTGTCGCTTGGCTGCTGCAGGCAGCTGCATGTTTTTCACTGTAACACACATTCGGATGGCCGAAACTGGTTGCGGCTAAATGTTTTCATTAATGCAAATCCAAATGCAAAATGTGTGGGCCGTTAAACACGCTTCGAATGAAAACAGGTCCCTAACTTCCCAGCAGTCGGCGAAACAACAAAAATTTTGAGAAATACACAAATGTATCCATATAAATATTCATATACAAATTTATATTGTATATACATAAAAGAAACAAATAAGTCGTTGACTGGCCAAAAGCAATAAGAAACAAAAACAAAGGCGACTAACAAATTAACGATTAGTTTTTACACGCGCTCATTAACTGGCAAAGCGAGCATATTGGTTTTGTGCTTGTTTTGCGTGGTCGGTCAGAGCTAGAGAAATGGAATTTCAAACTCAAAGACTCGAATATTTGCTGATTACGGGTCTTTTGGACGCGTGGCTAAACACGGCAATTTGATGGGCTTTTACAACTTTTGTTGTAAGCGATTAAACTATTTCCGTATTTTTACGCCTCTAGCGAGCATAGACAAAAATTCGGAGCAGTTTATCTCTATGAAAAAAAAGCTGAGTATTTATTTGAGTTAGACAACTTAAAATTTCAGTTGTATAAACTCATCTCGGCATATCTTGCTCATGTATAGCAATGCTCACTGAGCAGATCTTGTCAGTATCTTGGGTATATATTATCCCAGCATCTCTTGCTTATATCTAGAATTATAGCTAGCTAATGTAATTATATAAGAATAATTATAGTGAATTGAACAGTTGTAAGGTGGTTCGACGCTAAGGATGGTCGTAGATTCCGCTTGAAGCAGGAAGTGGGACTTAAAGTGATATATTTGGGCTGGTAGACGAGTATTGAACAGTCAGTTACAGCCATTAGCAAGGTTCTTTCCCAACTTATTTTTTTATCTAATATTTCACAGAAAAGTCTTTGAAATTCATGAAATATTTGCGCTCAAGCAGTTTGAACTTATTGTAGATTTACCTAAACAGTTCAATAGCGAGAATATAAGGAAATTGTTGTTGGGCGTGCGGAAGTTGGAGCAGCTAAGAAACTAAGCATAAAAGTATTGCCGTTTAGCAATTTCATTGAAGACTTTAGCTATAGTTGCGTTTTACTTTGTTTTCCGGCAGTGTGAAATTTTCTTTTTCTTTCTATTTTTTTTTTTTTTTTTTTTTTTAAATATTGTTTTTCTTTTCATTTTTGTTTGTTTTTATTGTTTTGTGTAAATATTGTACAAGAAGAGAACACAACAATATATATATGAACGTTATATATTGTTGCTTGCAGCCATATCAACGGTCCGGTGACTAAAGCTCTGTCCTGTCTCCGCCCAACAAAGATCTATTACCCGCCACGCCTACACCCACACACCACACACACACACACACACCGACACACACACGGACACACGCACCCGCCTCGAAGAACTGGAGACGCACACCAACGAACTGGACACAGGACGTTATACACTACACACACAAGCACACACACATACATACACCACACACACACACACATACACACCACTCACACAACACAATGTAAACCAAATGGCTTTGGTTTTTTTCAATAAAATTTTTTATTCAATTTATATTTCTTAGAGATTTTCCAAAAAAACACAAAAAAAAATATTTATATAAATATTAAATAGACTCGCAATTCATTTATAATTTATTAATTTATTTATTTCATACATATATTCTGATATATGTGTGTGAAGGCAAGTCAATAAAATTGTTGTGATATTACGATTTTGTTTAGTGATAGTTCCAATCGCGAACCTTTAGGGCAAAAGACACAGCTTTTGCACAATGCCAGCCAGAAGACATTAAAGCCGCTTAAGATAAAATAGCGCAAAAAAAAAAAAAAAAAAGAAAAAAAAAACCTTAATCGATATCTAACGGCCCACATATATATAGAATTATATATATAGTTTGGTTTTAGTTTCAATTGTAGTTAAACTTAATGCATTTCCATTGCGCAACTGCAAATACTCACAGCAGCAATACAAATAATTTTGCGCACGCTTAAAGCCCGAGCAATACAAACACACACACACACACACAGAGAGACACATACACACATACACGCTCACATACAAATGCAAAAATGTCGCTACCTAACGAACATCAGGCAACGCACGTGCAACACAATCAAAACACAACACCAACACCAACTACACCAACAACAGGCAATACAGACTCTAGCACAGACAACAACCACACAGCATCACCCACTGTGCCCAATGAGCTGAAGCAGAGACAGAAACCAATGCTCTCGCCGCTGAATGTGCGGCGGCTATCCTCGTATGCGGCGCACAATGTGGCCGCTGAGTTTGGTGACGATGAGGGCGTGGCGCCGGCGCCGCCGCTATCCACAACCATCAATATGAATGCGCTTAGCAATAACAACAACAACAACACCAACAACTACAACAACAACAATAACAACAACAACAACAACACATCATCAACAACGTCCTCATCATATGCCACGCCCCCAACATACCAACCGCAATTGTCGACAATGACAACAACAACGCCGCTCGATTCGGTTAACGATGATAAATATAAATTATTTACCATCTACAATGGAAACGGTGAGTGAAGAAGGCGCAAAAGGAAGAAGAACATGAAGAAGATTCGCAGCAGCAGCAGCAGCAGCTGCCGCGTTAGCATCCCTCATTGTACATAGATCTGATCACTATATACCCAAACCAAACGATAACGATAGCAATAACGATAACGATTGTCCTGCTGCCTCAAACTGCTCGATCTAAAGTACTCTTTGTGCTCGTTTCTATCTTCAAACTCTGACTTTTTGTAGTTTCCTTTGAACTTGTACTTTCATTATTTGTATTTTTGATCTCTCTTTATCTATTTACCTCTTTTGCTATTTCCTATTTCCTTGTCTTATACCTTTTATCATTCTACTTGTATAGTTATTATGATTATAATTATCATTATAATTATCATTAAGACTTTGCAGAGTATTCAGTATTTATTTGATTGATTGTCCGATTGCCGATGATTATATCAGATATGATAGGATATGATACATACTATCCATTTGGTATGTATGATTTATATATCAGATATGACCATGCATAATAGCTTATAATAGGTATGTGTGATGGTGGAGTGAATTTGCCTTTTTGTTTTTAATAAATTCGACTACTAAATAAATTTATAAAAAATAAAAAAAAATTAAAATCAATAATTTTTTATTCAACCAAATATATTTTGTTGTTAATTATAATTTATTATAATTTATAAAATAAATTAATCTAAAAAAAAATTTTAATACCTAATAAAATATTTTTATTTATTGTTTTTTTTAATTTGCCTTTTTTCTTTTGAGTAAATGTGACTACTAAATAAAAAAGTAAATAAAAAAATCAATAAACTACAAAATTATTTTTTATGATTAAAAAAAAAAAAATAATAATAATTTTTTATTCATAAAAATATTTCAATTTAAACAAAACTTGTGCATTATTAAATAAATAAAAAATTGTAATAATTCAAATCAATATAATATTAAATATATATATTTTTATAATAATAAAATCTTATGGAATACCCTGTAAAGTTGATGTAAGCTTCGGTCATATCGATGCTATACTTACTTCTCTTTTATAATCAATTGCTACTACTTTATATTCAAGTTTAATTCTGAAATAATTCTCAGAGTGATTAAAAGTCATACGAAATATTTAATACACACACACACATATATAAGTATATACATGGCGAGTGTTACACTAACTAACATTGTATGATAACGCGACTCGAATTCATGTCAGACTCATTTTCTTTACTTTTATTATATTTATTCTTATTTTATAATCGCACAATCGCAGATCGCATGCATGTTTATAAAGAATGATAAACCACATAAAAATCTTTATTAATTATTGCATGTTATTTGTTATTGTTGTAGTTGTTGTAGCCTGTAGCTGTTTGTTTGTTTTGTTGTCTGCGCCTTTTATGGACGAACGATTTGTAATTTATTAACACAACCAAACTGAAAACCCCCCCAAAAAAAAAAGCCAGCAACAATAATTGTTCTAAACCCGTTTAAGCCAGCAGACAAAAAAATATGAGCAACAACTACAAAAACCACAACAACAACAGCAATGACAACAAACACACTCTCTTTTGATATAGAGTTAGGGCATAGAGAATAGTGCTGAGCATACATATCTTTTATTGTAATGGTAATTAATGGTCTTGCTAATTGCAACGCTCTTGACTATAGTTGCATGCCACCCACACACCCACACACCCGCACACACACACGAACACACATACACACAGTGAAATTGTAGCTGTATGCCCGTACTAACTGCATCTCTACTCTCTTTCCCTATCTCTGTTTCTTTCCACCAACTGTCAATTGTCATCCACGCACTGCACAGACCCCGACAATGAGAAGTTGTCCGGCCTTCCACATTCAACAACTGGTTCACTAAGCTCAATCATCACGACGTCCATAGCATCCTCCGAACCGGATCCAGGTGCGGCGGGCGGCGGCGGCAGCGGCGGTGGAGCTGGAGGTGGCGGCGGCGGCGGCGGAGGCATTGGCTCTGCTGTCCTAGCCGCAGACGCATCCAGCATTGCCGGCATCAATGGCAGCTCCGAGGAGAAGTTGGCCCTCAATCGGCCCGGCATCAAGCAAGAGAAATGGACAACCATACTGCTGCAGGTTTCCATACCGTTCTTCCTGGCCGGCATCGGCACCATCGGAGCGGGCATTGTACTGGGACGCGTCGAGGTAAGCTCTATATAAAAAAAAAAAAAAAAAAAAAACCAAAATGTTAATTGATCCATTAAATTTTTAATGAAATTGTACGGCACGGAGTGTTACGGTCACTCCACATGGGCATTTTCGACCAATTCTCTTTTTCGGTTCGTTGATTCGCTCTCTCTGTCTGCCTCGATCTCTGTCTCTGTCTAGCAGTCAGCTTGATAAATCTCATAAATTGCCCCATTGGCATTGCGCAAGTGGCAAGATGTCGTTAGATAAAAGAGGTGCGCACAATTAAAATGACACGCAAATTAAATTGTAAATTCTAATGACAGACTGCTCTCTCGGTCTCTCCGTGCGTCCGTCCTTCCGTCCCGTCTGGCGACTCATTAAAATTACAGATAACACAGCAATGCAATGCAAAGCCAAACGTCAAAATGAGCTATTTTTGTGATCACTGAGAAACTTTGTCAAATAGCACTCGAAAGCAGCTGTTCTAACTGAACATCAATTCCATTTGCCGTAAATGCCAACTAAAACAAAAAAAAAAGGAGGAAAAATCCAAAACAAAATAACAATTTAACATTTAGTTGCATTCAATTAATTTTCCTACATTAAATGTTGTCTTTAATTGCCGTCGACTTCTTCTGTTTCTGCTCGTTTTTTTGTTTTTGTTTTAGTCTGTTCGAGCGACTCTATAGAAAGTTGTTTAGAACAAATGATTGTTGATTGCAGTCAGAAGCGAAGACGATTAAGTCAATTCATTTTAATTATCTATACGATCGAGCAATCGATGATGCTGATTATGTGCGATTGTCTTCGTTATGTGTCTATAGCTATCTAGAAAGTTTAACGTTTTACACTCATTCATTAAGTGAAACTGGGCATATTGGTTTTATGCAATTTTCATCTTGCTATCCAACCATCTGTCATGTGACCGTAGTCAGTGGCTTGTCTCAATTTTAGACTAAATAAAAGAAAATTATATAAATAAATAAATATGATAATATATTAGACATAAAGAGCTCTTCAGTTTTTGTACAAGCCCAATAAATTGAGGAGCATCTGTGAGTCGATCCCTTCATAAACTACAGCACTGTTACTGGGCACTATCTTGACAGTCCAGCTATAAAAAGTCAGCACATATTGTACGTCATAATATAAATTGTTCGATTTAAATTTAGCAATGGATGGCTTAAAAGCGTCAAAACTTTTGGACAGGCCAATAAATATTTATTTATCCGCTAATTCGTCTGAAAATTCTGGTAATAATTTAAGGCTGCTCCAGTTACGTGCGGCGGCTGCCTGTTATAGCCAAATCGAAAGCCAAATGATAAAAGACGAATCATCGAACCATAGTCACAAACCGAATCTGAGTCCGAGTCCGAAACCGAAACCGAAACCGAACACAAAACCAAATCAAGTCAATTAATAGTCAATATATATTATAGATAGCCCAGGCCAGCCCAGCCTTGTTCGAAATGACGTCATTAAAACTCACAAAGATTGCAATCGCGATTTATGATCCGCCATAAATCGCTACCAGAGCAATATTTATACACTTTATACTTATTTATATAGCAATATTAACTAATTTTTACGATCGTGCTCTTTGGGATCACAGAAATGGTATGTCTTCAAGAACGTCAGCGAGCTGTTTATCTTGGTGCCGGCGCTGCTTGGCCTGAAGGGCAATCTGGACATGTGCCTCGCCTCGCGTCTCTCCACGCAGGTGAATCTGGGCAACATGACGGCCCGGGCGGACTGGGTGCGCCTTATTGTGGGGAACATAGCGCTCGTGCAGGTCCAGGCAACAGTCGCCTCCTTTCTGGTGGCCATGTTTGCGACCAGTGTGGGCGCGGCGATGACGGGCAACTTCTACTTTGAGAATGTGATGCTGCTGACCGCCTCGGCCATGTTTACGGCCACCTCATCGTGCTTTGTGCTGGGTAAGTTGTGGCTAAGTATCAGATGCATATATCTATATATACTATATATGAACTATATTCATTGCAGACTTTGTGCTTGTCGCTGTGATTCTGTTCTCCCAAAAGTATCATCTGAATCCGGACAATCTGGCTACGCCGCTGGCCGCCTCCATCGGCGATGTTGTCTCCATCAGTCTGCTGTCGTTCATTGCCTCGCTGCTCTATGAGAATATAAGTGAGTGTTCCATTCACCTTTCCGCCCCACCATCCACATCCACTCAACACGACTATCGACGTCTTTGCAGAGACCCATCTCTGGATCACTTTCATTGTGGTTACCTGTTACCTGGTGCTGCTGCCCATGTGGGTTGTCATCGTGCTGAAGAACGAGTACACGCGGCCGGTGCTAAAGAGCGGTTGGGTTCCAGTGCTCTCAGCGCTCTGCATCAGCGGGTAAGATCGAACTTTCAATCCAAAAATTCCAAGTTTCCCATAATAGTTCAAGTAGCTGGCGCCTGAATGGGAACGTGATAAGCACAAATTGTGTTTCTATTGCAAGACAATGTTTTTAATGTTTACCCTTTTTTTTTTTTTTTTGTGTTTTTTTTTTGCCAATTCATGTTGGGCTCAGGCGGCATTAGGTGTGCTAAATTTGGCAACGTTATTTGATTGATCGATTTTTGTTTTTATTATTTGTTTCGATTATTTATTTAAGGCTGCGAGGCAGGGGCAACAAATAGCCAGCTTACCCACTGCTGGTTTCTATGGTGGCTCGTTGTCCTTGACTCGCACTGTGGGGGTCAATGCGGCACAGTTATTGGCTCGACTTGATATATTTATAGACTGCATGGATATTAATATAGTGCTTAGCATTAACAATAATTTAATGAGTTTTAATAGGTTTAATGGCTATTGTGATACTTGAGGCTAAGTAGAGTCGGCGAGAGTTGTGAGAGAATTTGGCTTTGTCAGCAAGCAGATATTAGGTGGATCTGACATAAATATGAATTCTAATAATAGCCTCAGACATCTCTACAAGACGTCTTTGAATATGGCTTTTGTCTCCACTCATATATCTTCTTTTGTCACTTGAGGCCAAATTGGGCTTAACTGGGTTAGCAAGATGAATAGATGATATATATACCATATCTAACATAGAGACGACCTCTTCAATATCTCTGTATAACTTTTGTCTCTTTTTCTCATGCAGACTCGGCGGTCTCGTGCTGGATGCTGCTGTGGAGGTGTTCAATGGATTTGTGGTCTTTCAGCCAATTATTAATGGTATTGGCGGCAATCTGGTGTCCGTGCAGGCTAGCAAAATATCAACGATGTTGCATCAAAGTTCAATTATTGGCATAATACCACCGCACACGAAAATTGTCGAATGGCCCTGGCGAGCGCTGTTCAAGGGCGGTAAGTTTGATCTCTAATTGATAGTTGTACATTTCATTAAGGCTAAACTTTCTTCTTCATCTTCGCCTTTCTCGTCCCGGCAGTGCCCTATGCCAAAACGGCTCGCATTCTCATTGCCATGTCCATACCTGGCAATATATTGTTCATCTTTGCGGCCGATTATATAAACATGAGCGCGACAACTGTGACGTGGGTGTTTGTGCTCTCCTATCTGGTTGCCAGTTTGCTTCAGGTAAGCTGCGAATCGGTCGAGTCATCTACAAGAGTTGACACTGAGTTCACATCATTCCTTAACGAATAGGTAATGTTGCTGTTGTATATTGCGCACATCATTGTGCATGCGATGTGGAAGTGGAAGATCGATCCGGATAACTCGGCTATTCCCTATCTGACGGCGCTGGGCGATCTGTTGGGTAGCAGTTTGTTGGCTGTGGCTTGGCTCTTTACGATGTCTGTGAACAAACAATACGGCTCCAATTTGGATACACTGAATGCGCCCAACTAGCGGCACACACACACACACACACATACACACCCAACAAAACACAACACACACCACCCAACGCACACACAAAAGTAAAAGCCTATATAATTTAGCTGTGGGGGCGTAGCATCGTTTTCGATTAGCTCGCCCAGTTTCTTAGTTAGCACGCAATAAGATAATGCAAATTCAAAACGATACGAAATTGCAGCAACATAATACAAAGAACTGTAATGTACCTAAATTTTAACATAGAAACTGAAACCGTATATATGTACATGTGTGTATGTATGTATACACAAAAATAGACACCAAATCCACACACACACATATGAAAAACGAAAAAAGAAAATGTAAGCACATCACACGACTACATCAGAGAAAAAGAGAAAGAAAAAAAAACAAAACAAATAGACAAACCCCTATGAAAATATTAAAAAAAAAAATATTTCGAATGTTTAAACTGTGGATGAGTCCCTTCATTAAATTTTTTGTTGTTTTTGTTTTTCGTTTTCTTTTTTTTTTGTGTAGCTTTCACATGGCTTTTGCTTGCGTTCCTTTGCTCTACCAAGATATTATGTACCGAGTATATTGTAAATTTTTTGAAGATGTGTCCAGTGCTTGGCTTGGTTAGGCATTGGACACGATGCTGCGTAATATTTTTTAAGGCTTTTAGGACAATATTATACATATACAAATAAGCTCCTCCCAGACTCCCAGTGTAGTTAAAGTGCATACAATGTGTAAAACTTGAAACCAAACAATATAGAATAGAATTTTCACAATTGTTGTTTGTGTTCGGATGGTGCGCAAAGTTTCTTTAAGCATCTAAAAAAACTATATTTAAACAAAATGTACACTAAAATAGTCTTAACAAATATGGCCTACTTAATTTTTATATATTACAATTTATAGTATTAGCGCAGATTTGATTTTGCAAATCTGGCTTTATGTTTTAAACATTTTTTTTTTGCCCCCTAATATAAGCAACGATTTTTTTTTTTTGCTGTGCGCACCTCTTAATAGCAACGATAAACCATATTTATTATTTCCCCTGTTGAAAAGAATAAATGTAAAAAGTTTTTTTTTTTTTTTTTTTTTTATATATAAAATAATTTAAGTTGAGCATATTTGTGTGTTTATATGTATTCAACAATGTAAACTTATAATGTATCTAATTATTATATTGTTTGTGCGTTATATGAAGCGAACAGGGAAAGATGAGACGTTCTGCAAGGAAATGTGATCGATATTTAATTATAATATAATAATAATAATTAAAAATTAATGTAATTCATAAAAATAGCATGATTATTGTGTAACAAATGAAACAATAATTACAATTATTTAATATGTTGGAATAAACGAAAGAAGTTCATAAACATAAAATTGTTACTTTTGTAATTTATATTTTTAAAAAGGAAAACAATTTAAAAAATTTTAAAAGCGCGCCCAGAGGAAGAATATCGATATTTTGTACAGCGTTCTTTTTGTATCGGCACTGCAGCCCTGTAGATCAACGCAATCGAAGACATGATATCGATGTTTCGATAACGCGCAGCTCTGTGGAAGCTATTTTCGCGTCATTTCAACTAACGCGCTAAACTGTTGGAAGCCAGTTTGTTAACAGTTTTGCAAGTTTTTATTTTATCAATTGCGTATGCGATTTAACATTGGTATTATAGAATGTATCGCCCACGACGTACCTCAGAGTTTCACGATGACGGCCGGGATGATGGTGGCGTCGTTAACAAACGCCAAACAAGGCAAGTCCAAGGTGGAATAATGTGAAGTGAATTTAAGTAGTTATTTTTCCCGTTTCTTCTGTTGCTGCCCTTAGGTCGTTGTTGCGAAATACGACATCATCCTCCATTAGTAAGCCAAACCACAGAGATTGGCAGCCGCAGTCTCGGCTTACCCAGTATAACCAGGATCGCGAACGTGGCACGCCCCTCCGCACGGGTCCGCCGCCCACAATGAAACGGAGCCTGGCCAATGGGAATGCGGTGACGCCGATGCGGCACCGGCAGGCTTCGTCGTCAGAGCGGCCGGTTGTATTTCACACGGACAAAAAGTGGGTGCAGGAGCAGGCGCAGATGATAGCCGAATATCTGGATGAGATGGTGCAAACTTATGCACTGTCAAATTTTCCAAGCGATTTCTTTAGCCGAGGTGCCGCGACATTGCGTCAAATGACAATGAAACAGTTTGTGGGCATTGTGAACTTCCTTTTGCACTTCATTTGGCCGAATCGCACCACCGTGGGCAGCAATCACGTTGAGGATATAACAAACGCATTGCACAAGCTTAACTATCCATATCAGGTGAATAAGTCCTGGCTAATGACACCCACCACACAGCACTCGTTTGGCCATGTCATTGTCATGCTTGACTTCCTTAAGGACTTCGCGCCGTCGTCGCAAAAGCAACAGGCATTTGGCCAATATGAGGAGTTTCCCTTCATGGAGACCAGCGAGCAGGCCAGCTATGTGCAGAACACACAGGATTCGATGGCTCTGTCTAACACACAATTGGGCAGCGTGATACTCAATGAAGAGACCACTCAGCTGCTATTTACGAAATCCGCCGAGTGCTTCGCTGTGTGGGACAAGCAGAAGGTGGACGAGTATGCGGTGCTGAAACGCAACATCAGCGATCAAATTGTGAAAAGCATTTGTGACTTGCCCGACACTGCGACTCTGGACGCGGACATTGTGCGACAGCAGAGCGAGCTACAGCAGCTGGAGGAGCAGCTCCAAAAACCCCGCAGCGGTAACAACGAACATCTGGAGCAGCTAACAGCCCAGCATCAGCAATTGGAGCATAAGCTGCATACAATGCAAGCCAATACGCAGGAGTATCGCGAGAAGATCGAACGGCTTAAAGCAACCGCTGCCCAGAATGTGGACACCATGAAAGCACTGCGCAAGCAGCGACAGCAACTGCACCGGGAATTGGGTCAGCAGAAGTGCAGCGCTGAACAGTTTCAGGCCAAGAAGGGTGTGCTCGGTGATCTGGAGACCAAGGAAAAGTTCTACAATCGGCAACTGCGCGAGTTCACTGAGCGCGGCTACGATCAGCAGGTGCGATTCTCGCGTGCCAAGAAACAGCTGCTGGACAAGGTGGAGAAGTTCAATACGCATGCGCAGAACATTGGCCTCGACTCGGACATATGCAGTGCCAGCGAGAAGGATAAGTTGGATTTGGTGTTGTCGCTGCCGCTGCAGCTCGGTGACATCCAGGCGCGCAACCGTCGCCTCACCAAGCTGAGCACAATGCTCGAGCAGCGTGGGGAGCAGCACAAGGAGCGCCTGCGGTGCCTGGAGCAGTACATCACCGAGCTGACGAAGCAAATCAGAAATATCGATGGGGTCAACAAACAATTGAATACCCAGATTCAGTCATATGAGCAGCAAATGGAGCAACTGCATCACAGCCATCAGGAGAAGGAGGTCATGTGGACGCAGCATCAACATCAGCATGAAGAGCGCAAGCGTGAGCTCAACGCAAAGCTCGAGCAACTGCAGCTGGAGCAGCACGACCTAACCCAGCAGTTGGATAACATGCGCAAAGAGAACGAAGCCCTCCTCAGCAATGCCGAGCAGCGACACGCCGAGATCATAAGCGAGCGCGAAGAATTCTGCAGGCAGTACAAACAGCAGCTGGACGATGGCGAAGAACACCTCAAGAAGATTGATGCGATAATTGCGCAGAACGACATCAGAATAGCCAGCATCGAAAAGCAACTGCAAGACAGCAAACTGACACCGTTTGAAGACGTGCTGGACAAGGTGTTCAAAAATCTGATAAATAATTAATTTATATGCCTATATATAAGTTTTTTGATTGTATAATATTATTAATGAATTTTTTGATTATTGATGTAAAATTTTTATAAATAAATAAAATCAGTGGTACATAGAAATCTCAGAATTCATGCATGAAATCAGTAATAAATAAATAATAATTGACAAATAGTAATAGCAAAAAATATATGAATATATTGATGATAGTTATGGTATGACACATGTAGGAATTTTTCATAATTTATTCAATTCAATAACTTTTTAATTCGCATGAGAAAACGTACAAATGAAGTAATTACATATCGAGTATATTTATTATTGATAGATGAATGTTTAAATTCTTGTTTAGATTAATTTCAAGTCAAGAGGCTTGTCTCAACGGCTATCATTTGATTTACAGTACACGCAGGTACATTTATTTATAGTTGTGCTGATTGCAATGTCGACTGCGAAATACTCTACAAAGTGTATGAATATGAAAGAGATAGAGATAGAGATAAGGTGAGGAGCTACATTCGCTTGCTTTGGATTCTCGCCTAGTTATTGCCATGCATATTCATCATTTGGATTACATTGTTTTAAATTGCACTTGGTACGGTTTAGGTTTAGGTTTAGCTTTACATTGTACTGTGTTACATTTATATATATAATATATATATATATATACGAGCTCGTCGTCGTCTTTTGTGTGTGGGTGTAAGGGTGGGGCTTACATACATACATGTGAATAGACATACATACATAATATAACATAATTTTTGGCCAATTTGAGGAATGGGAATCGGAAAGAACGCACTGAATCAATATCATCTTGTAATAAATAAGTATAGCTTAGGTAAATTTATACAGAGGTGTGTGTGTGAGTCGCTTATGCCGATGATGGCTCAACTCAAACAATAAAGACATCACCATTATTGTGGTCGACAGTGGATGATGCTATGTTCGAGAGAGCTAGGTCACTGCCACACCCAGATCGCAGTGATTGAGATTGAGTTTGCGCCTGGGCAGGCATTGCTGTCGTCGCTGGCTCCCCTTGGCTGACCTTGTCCAGCAGTTCGGCCTCTCTGCCAATTTCGACAATGCCCTGGGACTTTTGCGGCGATTCCTGTGCCTCCTCCAGACTATCCTCGCTTAGCTGGCTGGCCATGTGTATGCTCACGCCAGCCACGTCTAGCTCCGCCTCGTCCTTGTGGTTTTGGAATGTAACTGAGATCTCCTGCGGCTGTTGCGACGGTCCAGCGGCGCCATCGATGCTGTCTTCCATACTGAGACTGTGATTTTGATTGCTGTCGCTGCCAGCGCCAGAGCCGGAGGCTATGCCGCCCGTGCTATTAGCCGGCGCAGTCGTAATGGAGGACCACCAGCTGGAGAGGGCCCCCTTGGCCTGCGAGATGGCACCGCCCACAGCTCGGCTCGTGTTGTTAACAGCCTGATTAATCTTACGTCCACTTTCGCTATTCTGCATGGTTCTGCGCAAGTAAGAATCAAGATTATATTCCTAAATTCGCTTCTTTAAATATTTCGGTTATCGCTTACTGCGCCAGCTTCAGCTTCATGTCCGCCACGGATAGCGTGCCCGAAAATGGATGGCCAGCGGGCAGCGCTTCGAAAAATTCGGGATCGGGTCGCACATCGTACCACTCTTGGTAGCATTGTGTGCGCTTGAAGGCGCTCATGAAGTGCGGATTAAAGTGGTCATTGTCCTTGATATCTACGGCAAACATGAAGGATTAGCCAATGTAATTTAACATTTATTTTTACATAATCTGTTATTGATGCTCACCAGGTGCCACCGTGGCGCGTAGCAGTGCCAGTATGTAGCCCTGGAACTGTTCACGTATCCAATACTCGCTGCCTTCGGCATCCTCTTTGGGCGTTTGTACATGCTTCAGTATGTAGTCCATGAAGCGCAGGTCCTCTGTGCTGAGCACCAGCTGCCGCCGCAGCTCCGGATCATGGACATCCAAATTAGCGGCTTCGATGTCGACGAGCACATCGGCCAGCTGGCGCTTCTGCTGAAACAGCACATTGGAGGTGCCAATAATATAGGAGAGCACCATGGGATCGCTGAGCAGGTCCATGTACGGTAGCGACAAGTAGGGCAGGCAGAGGTTGCCGCTGGCAAAGATGCTGACAGGTGCACGATATTCGTCAGGATTTATGGCGCACAGCGCGGCAAGATTAGCTAACAAGAAGGAAGATCTGGATTAAGCGAGGCTTTCTAGAAACACATCGATTGCACTTACAGGCCAATGTGTCAACGCTTGCCTCGCGAGTCAATGAGCTGCTGCGTCCACTCCGTTTACTGGCTCCGCCTGCGCTGGTGCCGCTCTCCGTCGAGTCGACGCGCTGCAGCTCGTTGTGCGTCGGTGTTGTGGTCGGGCAGCTGGAGTCGTGGGACTGTGAGTTGGGAGTTGTGTGCGGCGAGGTGTTGCCGCTGCTATTGCAGCACTGAGAGCCAGCCGAGGCTGCCGACGAGACCACCGTTAGATCTTCGGCTTCTGCGACGACATCAGCTTCAATCTCAGCTTCGGCAACGGCTTCAGCCTCACGCTGGAGCGAGTCGGTAAAGTCGGGCATGGGCGAGAGTGGGCGCGAAGTGCGCACACAGGCCACCTCCTGGAATCCCTTCTCCAGCAAGCGTGGTATCAGCGAGGCCATGCCCAGTATGAGTACACACATGCCGCGCACGGGCGAACCGAAGCAGACGACACGCCTCTGCAACAGCAAGAGCTTGAAGAGCATCAGGCTCTTGTGGCGCCAGTGCAGCACAATCTCGCGCAGCGAGAGGCCCACATGGAAGTGGCGCAGCGGACGCTGCGTCTCCTCGTCCAGCAGGCAGGCATTCAGCTGTTGATATGCCTTGACCAGAAGCTCAGTGCAGCTAAAATCACCCTGGTCGAAGAAGGCGTCTGCGATGAGCGCCAGTTTGACCTCAATGTAGCCATAGATGGGCAGACGTGCCAGTATGCACACTGACTTTTGTACGGTGCTGCGGGTCACGTCTGCGGTGCGTATCTTGAGTTTCTCTACGGGAATTTGACGGTAGCACGATACACCGTAAATGCTGGCGGCTGGCTCAAATAGGCTGGGCAGATTGAAGAACACGGTGTCCTCCATGAAATTGTGCGAGCCATCTGGCAGGGCCAGCGTGGGTAAGTATTTCCAGCCGGAGGGACATTCGTTGCGGCCACTTGAGCCGGCGACAAGCGGCGGATGCGAGAACTCCACCTGACAGCCGAGCTTGTGATGGAAGCCAACAACCAAAATGTGCAGTATGGGCGGTTTGTTTTCTGGCTCGCTGGCCATCTTTACCCGTGGACTCGACGCAAACTTCGTATAATTTTTGCGACAGATGCGTCAATCAGACAGGAAGAACAACAACAACAACAAAAACGGATGCTGATGGGCGGGGGAAACGAGGATACGCCTTGCAGCGTCACTGCGAAAATATAACAGAAAACAAAAGTCACAATTATGACACTGAACTAAACAAAAAACCTCAAATTACACGTACATATGTGTCAATATGCTTGTATTTAGATATCTTATTTCGTTGTTCTTCAAAATTTGCAAATAGAACTGCAGAGATATCGACAAAAAGGTTGTGGTGGCTGGTCGATAGATTAAGACAATCGTAATTGAAGCATTGACTGCGATATCTACCTAAACAATGATTAGCCGATATTTAAGTGCCAATTATCGAATAAGCCTAATAACATTGATGACAAACCGTTACAAATGCTGAACTATATGCCGATCAGCTGACGTTATATTCGTGTCGAGATTAAATTGCACAAATGTGCAGATATGTTTACAAATGCTTAAATACACAGCGAAGCATTTTATGTCTGATATAATTAAGGCTTACTCTTATTGTAATTGTCAAACACGTCATTGTCAAACGTTTCCTACTTTTCATAATACCGTTTACTACTTTTTCATAAACTATGTTAATACTAATACTCTTTTCTAATGCCATTAATATTACTATAAGTAATATATTAGTACTGCTATAATTATATTTGCTTCTAGTATTTTCGGACTTAGCCAATGTTTTTAGTAAATGAGACGGGCAGAGCTTAGAAATAACAAGTTTCATTAAACTGTAGAGGATTATAAACAAATTATAAATTCCTAATTTTGTAACTTCTTAACGCTGACTTCTATAACATTTTTCTCCTTCTACTTGATTTCTATAATTTAATTCTCAAGCATTTTACTTGATTTTTGTTTTTGAATTTAATTTATTTTTAAAACAAACGTCGCACGTATATATTCTAATTTTGGCACCCAAGATTGTTGTTCGTTACAAAATATGTTTGCTATTCCGAAAGCCCATTCAAATCTATGAAACTGAATGGATTCGATATGAAATATCTATGAAGTGTTAATAGGTGGATATTCTATATAATAAATATAAGATAATCAGAGCTACATAGTTCAATAAGAGTTATGGACTCTTTTAATTGTATGTTTTATCTACTGTTTAAGTAATATACAGCTATCCCTATGCATATAATGAGCAAGAAAAGAAATTTAAATTTGCGAATCGTCTTTAAAATTAAGAACTCTTTGTTTACTCTGAATTCATTTATATGATTTACCACAATCCTAGCAAAATTTTTAATTCAGCAATTGATCTGTGTAGTGTTCGAAATGCGTGAAGTCATTAAATATAAAGAAGGATTTACAATATTATCTCTACTAATATTTAATAATTGAAGTGATTAATTTCGAAAATTACATATATATTATATATAGTTATGATATCCATATTTTTGCCGATATTCCTTTCTATACAGGATTCATCTCATTTGCATATTAAACTGAATGAAAAATAGATGTTTATAAACATTGAAATTTCTTGAAGAAAAAAAAGTTTAATATAACATTATAGGTATTTCAAATTCAAGCGGTTTGTCTTTGAGGTTAAAACTTTGATATGCCGATGCTTTGAAGATCAGTATAGAGCTCACGACAAATAGCCATTAGAAAAGACAATGATCTAAATATCAGCTCTGGTGAAAGTATCGATTGATAATGTATTTTGTGAGTTTTTATTATTTTATATCAGTTATATTTAATGAACGTAGCTTTCACAGCCCATTCTTTAAATAATGAAACGTTTTTTCATGGCCACGCAAATGCAAATCAAAATATTTCATCTGGTTTTGTGTGATTCAAAAGTAATTTGAAATTCATTGAATATTTGAATTGTATGTAAATGAGATATATAGTACGTATTGGAATGTTTCTGCTTAGAGTTTTGTGCATCCGTTTCGGCTTGCAGTAGAAAGCGGCGACCAAAGATAGAAATTGAAACAGTTTGTCGTAGAATCCATATAAGCTACGCACATACATATGCATATGCATGATCCGAAATGTAGATATGTAGGCATAACTGTGTAGATATATAGAGCGAAAAGAAACGAGCAAAGCCGAAAGCTAGCCGAAGCACATCTTCGCCCACACAAGAGACCCAAAAATAGCCCAAATACCCGAAAACATTGCTATTTGTTTTCCTTGATTTTTGTTGATGTTGAAGATGATGCGAATTGAAATTTAGTTGAAGGCAACTAAGATAAATATATATATAATGTATATACATATGTATATGTATATATATGCCATATACATATTATAGCTGACATACATAGTATATGAAAAACAGATTGTTGAAATATTTGACTAAGTTCAGAGTTAGAAATATTGGCAGATGGCAAATGTTCGTTTACATATTTGAAATTGATATATGCATATGGGTAAATGGGGCTTACGTCCTAGGGCATACCTAAATAGGTCAACCGAGAACTCAAACTGCAACTGTATGATATTCGATTCATTATTGATTATGCAACTCTCAGTTTAGTAGGTCAATTTAAAGCCGATGAAAGTTTTAATTCTGAATTTGTTTTAAGCCTTTTGACTGTATTGATTCTGATTTGACTGACTTTTCGTATGCAAATCCCTTTCTAAATTGTATCAAAGTCCCGTATGTCGTCTATGCATATGTATATGTATATATATATATATATATATCTATGCGACTTGCATACTATGCTACATATGTATTTATAAATCCAACATCTGGCTGTGTGTGTAGATTATACGCGTTCAGCTACAGCCACCCATACATATATATAGAAACAGTTCTATATTTAAGAAACAAGCATATACTTTTACCCAGTGCCACGAAATGCGAAACAAAACAACAAAAATAAAAGCAAAAAAAAAAAAAAAAAAAAAAAATTAAATAAAATAAAATAAAAGAACAAAAATTTGAAACAGATTCGAATAAGCGAATGATGAGAATAATTATTCACAATTATTTGATTCCAGTTATTTTAAGCTATGGAAAGTTTGTATATTTTATTTTATATATTATACATATTTATTCAATTTTTAAAAAAATTATTTATTTGAATATTATATTATATATTTAGAAAATGACATATATTTTGTATGCTAAAAATTCCATGAAAATATTTAGGATTATAGTTTCTAGTGTTTGTTTGTTTGAATAGTTTTATAATTAAATATAACACTTTTTTTGTGTAGCATTTTTTTCAAAATATGTAACTTATATATAAAAATTTTAATAGTTTCAAATTTTAAAAAATTTACAAAATAGTTTTTTTTTAATTAAAATTTTTTAGCTGCTTTTAATAAATTTAATTTTGTAAATAATTTTTGATATATTTATTTTCAAATGAATACCCTTTTATTATTTGAATTTGTTTATTTTATTTTTATTTTTATTATTATTATTACATATTTTATTCACATTTTATTTATAATATTCAAATTTTTATTTACATTATATTTTCTTTTCATAATTATCAATTGTTTTATCATTTAAATTTTAAACAATATTTATTTATTATTTTCTTATAGTCATTAATTATTATCAGTGCTCTCAAAAGAGCTTGATATTTTTATTTTAGAAGATTCAAGAACACTCATTTTCTTTATAGATCAATTAAATATGATGGATTAATTATAAGTGACCTTTGGCTGCGAGTCATATGATATATATTTGATATTTTCATAGCTGGAGTCAACAAGTTAGATCACTTTAGGTCATCTCTGCAGATGAAAATTTTCCCATTTAAATTTGGATAACATAGAGTTTTGAATACGCTTTCCGTGCTTTTGAGTCCTGAGCGGGTATTATACAGTTGGTATTTAGTGTACAATAAGAATAAGGAAAAGTATATACTAGATTTTGTTGGACGTTTCTTGTTGGCTGCGCTAGGACTTTGGGCATTCATTAATTTATGTATTTTTTTTAAGTCTAATGGAATTTCCTAAAATTAAAAACATATGTATACGAAATATATTTTATTATGTATATATACTATTTGATAAATGAATGTGTTATATTATATGCTCATTCACGATTCTTACAGTCTAAATGAGCTAAGCAGCTATACCAGCAGGGTATGCTATGCGGACAATTTAGACGAAGAATCAAAAGCAGAACAATGACGAATAGATCGAAGGTATAGATAAATAGACGGATGGACGGATGGACAGACTAACGGTCGCTGTGAACTAAGGCCGGCTGTTTGGCAGACAGCATCAACGTCAGCATATACCCTACATATACATACACATACATATGTATATTTATATATATCCGAACGAAATATCTATATTTCATGATTGTCTCAAGGAATAGGTGCTAAATAGTTAAGATATGTGGGCTTTAAGGGCAGCCCGCATAGTGCGCTCGCAAGATGTTGCAACGTTGTTTTCATTTCATTCTTGGCCACTTTTGAAATCACTTTACATATGCATAAAGTACATATATGAAAAGTCATATGTATATATACATATATATTTGGATTTGATCTAAAAGACTCTGCGCTAGTTATGCCTGAGTTTGTTTGTGTGCGTTGCCTGAATACATTTACATACATACACAATTAAATGGGTGTGAAATTTATGTTCAACGATATTTGATTCCAAAAACAACTTGAACGCCAACGCATAAATGCGCTAGATGCCAGTCTATATTCGCTATATACATGCCCGATCCGCATACACGCATATATGTGTATATATATAAGTATGTATATGTATATGGATCATAGCCAATTGGAAGTATTCGTTTTGGAAATTTCTGCTTCTCTGTGTGTATGTGTGTGTGCGATTTGTTTATTCAACAAGTTTATGTTTCAGTCGAGCTGCTAGCGACGCGACGCCTCGAACGGATGTGGGCGGGTGGGTGTTGGCAGCAGCAGCAGCTCGCAGCCCACCTGAAATTGTTACTGCTATCAGCCTGCCACACACACACACACACACTCACACTCACACTCACTCACACACACAGCCAACTGCCGCTGCACGCCCACGCTCTGCCGCCACGTCCCCGATCCATGCTATGAGCTATGCGCTCCTGCGCCTTGGCTGCCAAGCATTGCGTAGTCGCCGTCGCCGTTCGTCTCACTGTCCGTGTATTGGTGTGCGCCTCTGCACACCGCCCATCGCCACTTGTTGGCCAACCGACGTGCCGGCATATAGCGCGCCTTTTCGCACCCATTCGCTCGGCTCGACGCTGCCCAATATCTATAGGCGAGCGTGTGTAGAGACCTTTGTCGCTGCGCCGTGTGTATATAGCGAGCGCGCCGCTGTCTCTGTAGTGGTGGGAAATGCTTTTCATTTTCCGCAAGCTGAACAAAAATTCTTTAACATAACGTGTAGCATCGCTTTGGATCGTCAGTCTGTTTAGTCGAACCGCAGCATTCGCTCCTACGACGTCAGCTGCTCGGACTTTAGTTGAGAGTTCAATTTGTTTCTTTTTCCCTAAGTAAGTTGGCCAAGTGTTTGGACCAAAAGTTACAAAGAACAAAAAATCAAATACAAAATATTCACAAAGTTATCGAACAAGACAAAATGAAAGAAAACAACAATTTCTGAAAATCTCTAACTGAACTTAAACAGAAATCCTTGCGCGTTGAACTTGTAAAAAAAAATAACGCCCAAGAAAATAATAAAAAAATAAATAAGAATGCATAAAGATTGTTCTTACATAATCCTGTGTGCGCATATTTGCTGAAAACTATATATTTTTTTCCAATTTTTTTTTCCAATAATTTTTTTTTGCAAGTGAAAAGCACAGAAACAATTCACGTGTGTTAAACAATTCAATAAAAAAACTAAAAAAATTAAAAAAAAAATATATATACAAAAGAAACAACAACTAAAACTTTCAAATTGTACCAGACGAAATTTTTTTTCTGTTCTGCAATTTTTTTTCGCATTTCCTTTTTTTTTTTTTGTTCAATGCCTGACAAAGACTATAAATAATTGCCCTAGGGCGCATAACAACAACAGCAACAATAACAACGACAACGACAACTTTAACAGCAGCAGCAGCAACAACAACCAGCAACAGCCAGCAGCAACAACAGCAACAAAAGCAGCAACAACATCAAGCAGGAATACGAACAAATGCGACAGATTTTACGATTGAGAGCGCCTTGAGAGCCAAGTGTTATATGATCTCACAGAAAGAATTCAATTCTTTTTTCTTATTGGGATTTCTTCTCTCTTTTCTTTTCTTTTTTTTTTTGTTTTTTGCTAAAAATTTTTAAAAATAAGCTTCGTGCTTATGTGTGTGTGTGAGTGAGTGTGTGTGTGTGCGTGCGTATGCCTGGTAGCTCGTCTATTTACCTTGGCAAAATGGCCAACAGAGATAGATTCACACACAAACATAAACACACACACATACACACAGAGTTCGTTGCTTGTGCGCAGACGTCAATAGACGAGCATACATACACCCACACACACACGCACACATAAACGCCCACATATATATACACTTCTGATATCTGGCATGTCCAAATCGGTGCTGGAAAATATTTCTATATATAGCGTGCACAACGGACACGACAACGTAATATTCTATTTATTTTCTTCATCTCAAACTTAGCCAATTGCTGTGCTCTAGTTTCAACATCTTTTCAATATATGCGTGTGTGTGTGAAGGTAGTAGAGATGAATGCAAAAACTTGGGAGCTTACAGATCAAGCTAAAGCTGTCAAAGAATTGCAGATGAAACTGAGGTTTAGATAAGATTTTAGATTAAGGTAAGCAAATTCATTGTAACAGGTTGATAGATAGATGGATAGATATGTAGACATATGGATAGGTAATAGAATAGATGGGTCGATAGATAAGTAGAGGGATAGATGGCAACAGATAGATAGATAGATGGCTAGATGGATAGATGAATAGATGGATAGATATATAGGTAGGCAAGCCGATAGACAGTAAGACAGATAGATGGATAGGTGAATAGAAAGATGCATAGATAGATTAAATAGATAGATAGATAGATAGATAGATAGATAGATAGATAGATAGATAGATAGAAAGATAGATAGATAGATGGATAGATAGGTGTATAGATAGATAGATAGATAGATGATATATAGACAGAAAAGTAGACAGATGGATAGATAATATATAAATAGACAGATAAATATATAGATAGCTAGATGGATAGGAAGACAGATAGATAGGTGTATAGATATATATATATATATATATAGATAGATGTCAGATAGACAGTTAGATAGATGACAGATAAATAAATAGATAAATAAACAGGTAACTAGATAGATAGATAAATAGGTAAATAGATTGATAGCTGGCTGGATAGGAAGATAGATAGATAGGTAGATATTAATTAATGAGATACATGAATATATTTTTCACATATGTTTTGCATATTTTTATATATTTGGAATAGTTGCGAAATCTGAGAATTGCATTTTACAAGGTTTTTACTGCACATTAAGTATACGCACTGTTGCTTAGCTGCATAGTAAATATATGTATATGCACAAGCAGAATTACATATATATATTTCTATGCAAATATATAAGTTCTTTTTTATTCACATATATACATATATATAAAATATATATTTAAATGCATTCATGCATTCATATTTTACGACCTGATTTTGTAATTATGAAATCGTTGCAATTATGAAATCGCTGACAGGAGACACACACACATACACTTCACACATACACACCCCCACACACACCCCCATACACATCCCCACACACACCTCCATTACACACTCTGTCAAGCAGCAGATTGCATATTTTACATATTTCAGCTAAGCATTTTGACAATTGCATTTACATTTTTTGGCATTTGATTGTCAGTCAGAGTTTCGCTTGGGCGTTTCTTTTGATTTGCTACTTTTTGCCTTTGATTTAGTGCCAAGGTAAAATTCAGAACGTTTCCCGATCGAAAGTCAGCTCGTGAAAGCTCTTTGAGAGCTTCGTACCGTTTCGGCACAGAAATTCAATACGTGCGGCTATTTTTAACAGTTAGCTAAAAGCATTTCACACTCATACACATACACTCACACACACACACACACACACAGAGAAAGCGAGAGAGTGCGAGAAAGAGAGAGCAATATCTATATAGGCACATATGTACTATAGAAATATATAGACTTTGGCGAGTATATAAAATTAAATAACCAAAAATTTTGTAAGAGGCGCAGAAATTATGATCGGATATAATATTGTCGCCGGCTGTATAAAAATAAAGATGGCTGAATGTGTATGTGTGTGAGTCTTATGACAGCATAGACACATAGATATATTATATATGTGCATATATACATATATCTATGTACGTATGTATATATCTACGCATACATATGTGGATACAGACACAGATACTGGCCCGCATAAACATTTGGTGTCTAAATATAGAGCGATATCAAGGCGAAAACAACAATGACAACAACAACAACAACAGCAACAATCAGAACAGCAACAACAATAGCAGGAGGAGGCTGTTGCTATTTTAGTTTTAGCCAATGTTGTTGTTGTGGCTGCCGCTGCTGCTGTTGCCGCCACTGTTGCTGCTGCAGCATTTGACAGTTGGCAGTAAGCGACAATAACAGTGAAGTGTGAGCCAGCTAGTGACTGCGACTGTGACTGTGACTGTGACTGTGAGAGTAACGTTAACTGCGTTCAAATATGGCCTTAACTAATAATGCCCATTTATGTTTTTGCCTTCTCTTGTAGGTTTTTTCAACCCTAAACCGTAACCATGTCCGACGATGAGGAATACACGTAAGTACAGTGACCCACACAAAGCAGGCAACAGCAACAATATTAAGTATGCCGCGACTCGTATCTATTATTATACTATATGAAATCATACTTGAGTTCAGTTAAAATCAGAGTCAGCTCAGTCGTAAGTGAAAATGAATGAGATGAATGGGTATACGATGAATATCGAATTGATCGAATTGGGTGGGCCAATTGATCATAATTAACCACAATAGATCTACTTACTATGTACATATAAGTCTTTAAAGTCTTTTGTTTATCAGTCTTAATGAAATACGTCTATTAATTAACAGTTTGCACACACATACACACACACCTTTATATATAAGGTGTATTTTTTTGTCAGTCGTGTATTTCAATCACCGGGTTTTTGTCCTCTTTTTTATGGCACATGTTTGATTTGTATTCCTTTTACACACTTTCTTTTCATCACAATCCCCATTTTGGATCCCACCAATCTATCCACATGCCGGCAACTTGTGACTGTGTGACCTCATCATAATCAAAATCCTCCACGTCCAACCACCACCACCCCCCACGGCCCCCATCCAACAAAACCGTCTTAATCAATCAACTGCTAATGTTGTCGTTTCGTTGTTTCTCTCGAAATCAATAACAAACAACTTGACAACCAAATCAACAAATATCAACATCATCAACAACAACAACAACAACTACTACAACAACAACAACAACAACTATTTTGCATACACAATCCAACCAAAATGCACCTGTGATATTGTTTTTTGCACAAAACCATAAAACACACCTCGTTTAATTACGAACTCGCCAGCAGTTCCGAAGAGGAGGAGGTTGTCGAGGAGACCAGAGAGGAGACGTAAGTAGTTTTTGTGGCCAAAACTGAGCAGCTAACAACTCGATTGGTGTTTTCTCTCTGTTTTGTTTTTTTTTTTTTTTTATCAAATTATATTTTGATTTTATTTTCATAAAACAAAAAAAAAAAAAAAAAAAAAACAAAACAAAACCAAAATTTTCTATATGTGTTTTGTATTTGTATATGTCCTTTGTATTTGTATTTGTCTTTGTTATGCGAAAAAAAAAAAAAAACCAAAAAACAAAAACAAAAATCAATGTGCAAACGCCGAAATTATCCCAATGCAATTTTTTTTCTGTTTTGTGTCTTTGTCATCTAATTAATATAATTTATTTCTCATTTTTTTTATTATAATTTTGTAAATTTGTTAATTTTTTGTTTGTTTCTTATTCTTTATTCTTCTCAATGTTGTTGTATGTCTTATACCCTATAAATATCCATAAATATCCGAAATACAATCTGATCAATTCGAGCACAAATTTTGTACAAAATGTACTAACTCATCTGTCTATCTATCTGTAAACATATATCCACACACACACAAGCAATGAAATCATCTTTGTCTAGAAAACGTTAAAAAAAGCACACACACACACATTCCCACACATTTTCCCGAACCGCACCCCGAATCTGAGTAAATTCCAAATTCCAAACAACAAAATTGGCAAACGTTATGTAAAAATATATATATATATTTATCGAGCTAGCTATATGTGTATTTCCCCAGCTATACCTACCTACCCCGCCTACCACCATTTCCAGTAATCCAACCCAGTTCAAATTCAATATATCTATATATATATAGTAATCCATGCATATGTATATATATAGTTATACATAAATGTTTTCGTATATGTAATCGTAGTTCGTAACATGTCTTTCTACCTTTTACCCCGCCAAAATTTGGAAAAATGTATAAAACCATTTGAAACTTCTGAAAAATAATTTAAAAAAAAAACCAACAAAAAAATTAAAATCAAAAATAACGCAAAAGTAAATTTCGCCTATCGCTGGCCTGGCTTCTTTCTGTTCAATCAATTAAGACTTTAAGACATGGAAAATTCTAAATCACATTTGTTTTCTCTCTCCCTCTCTCTCTTTCTCTCCGTTTCTTTCTTATTACAGGAAGTAAGTAATTGCGTTACCAAAGTAATTAAATCAATATTCGCATTTGTACTCGAAACGAAACAATTGCAAGCAAATATTTTTAGTATGAAATATATATGTGTATATATATGTATGTATGTATATATATGTATGTATATATGTATATATTCACTCAATATGCAATTAGAGCAGTTCGGTGGCTGCCGCTACGATACAGATTCATCTCGGTGTTTTTAGTTCTCCTCTCAAAAAAAAAAAAAAAAAAAAAAGTAAACAATGAAACAGTTGGAAATTTCGTGTTTGCATAATATCGAAAATATCTTAAATATATACATATAGCGATGGAAATGTGTGCTGACTCGGCAAAGAATTTATATAATAGAAAATATCAAATACAAATTGGGAATGTTCTAAAAAATTCTAAAAATTTGCCTGGTCAAAATTTAATTCAATTCGTTGTTCAAATTTCATTTCCAAAAAAAAAAAAAAAAAAAACAACAAACAAACAAAAAAAAAAATTCAACCTCTTCACATTGATTTTGTACAAAGCACAAGCAAAATTCGTTTATTTTTGATCATACAAGACCAGTTCCAGATCCAGTTCCAGCTCCAGCTCCAGTTCCAGTTTCAGTTCTTTTTTGAGTTTTGAGTTTTTGAAAGTTTGTACAAAATAGCTTACAGTTCGTTGCTTGGAATTTAGTTTTAGAATTTAAGAATTTAAACAACAGAAACAACAACAACAACAACAACATCAACAAACAAACAAACAAACAACAAATACGTACTTACATTTAATTTATTGTTTTTCAATTATTTTCGTTTCGTTGCAACAAACAATAATTTTTTTCCAATCACTTTTTTTTAAACAAAAAATGTTTTTCTCTTTCTTTTCAACGACTTTTTGTTTGTAAAATACAAAAAAAAAAAAAAAAAAAAAAAAAACTATAAATATTTTTGTTATATATGAAAAAAAAACAAAACAAAAATCAAAACAAATCTCTCAACCCAACACGTGTTTTTGTGTACTTCATCGTGAATTTGTGCCAAACTATAAATGTAAAAAAAAAAAAAATACCAACCAATTTTTTGAAACACAAAACCACCAAATCTATATCAAAACCACCTCCATGTTTGCCTCACGTATAGAAAACCACCTCAGACACCAGCCGAGTAAGTTGATGCCATACGAAATGTGTACAAAAACGAAATACTATGTAAAAAAATGTCTAATCCATACTAAATTCTTAGTGATATCTTAAGCTGAGCCATTTGCTCTATAGTTTATGTAATCTTAACGAAATGTTCAAACTAAAACAACGACAGCAACTCACCAAACTCACCATAGCCGTAGTATGCATAAGAAATCCATGCCCCCCACTCCAGCCCACCCCCCCACTAGTTTTAGTTGGTGTAATTTCTGTATATAGTTAACTCATTCACACAATATGTGCAATATCTATACATAACATTATTATCTAGATAATATCTTATATATATATAATATTTTTGGCATGGTTTTGCCTTCATTTTTATCTAGTTTAGATACGATTACGATTGACGGCTATATGGCCGCCTTGTAGCTGATACTACTGACAATTTTGTGGTTCTAATGCTTTATGAGATAGTCACTAATTTGTTAACAAGTCCATCTTCTTCTTCTACTATGCACATACTCCACTTAAGCAGACATTTTCAAAATAATATTCATGAAAACCAAAAATTATATAAATTTTGACTTCAATGTAATATTAATTGTAGGCCTAAATCAATATACATATATTTACAATAGTTTAGTTACCGGCTTAGTTATTTATGCTAGCTAGTAAACGATGCGCTTTAGCATTTGATCGATTTCAATTACTAATTGTCAATTATGTTTGATGTATGTGTGCCGTGCCGCGCCGTGCAGAGGTGAGGGCGATCCAGAGTTCATCAAGCGTCAGGATCAGAAGCGCTCCGATCTCGATGAACAGCTGAAAGAATACATCAGCGAATGGCGCAAACAGAGAGCCAAGGAGGAGGATGAGCTGAAGAAACTGAAGGAGAAGCAGGCCAAGCGCAAGATCTCGCGCGCCGAGGAGGAGCAAAAGATGGCCCAGCGCAAGAAGGAGGAGGAGGAGCGTCGCGTCCGCGAGGCCGAAGAGAAGAAGCAGCGCGAAATCGAAGAGAAGCGCATGCGTCTCGAGGAGGCCGAAAAGAAGCGCCAAGCCATGTTGCAGGCCATGAAGGACAAGGACAAGAAGGGCCCCAACTTCACCATTGCCAAGAAGGAGACAGGCGTGGTAATTATATGAAATTCCATTAATACAGCTTACTGATACACCTTCCCACACCATTCTCGTATTTTGTCGTTTCTACCTTCTACACACCCTCTCTTGTATATTTCGTGTACCTTTTTTTTTTTTTTTTTTCATTGTTGTATATTTGTTGTCATATTCCGACTCGTATCCGTATCCGTTCGTTGCCATATTTAAATTATATAATCTCATCTGATGCACACCAAACCCAAACACACACACACACAATTTTGCTAATCTATCATTTGAAATCCATGTCTTTCACTCTAAACCGTACCTGTTCCACACGTACCACCGTAACCTGCAACCAAACCCCCCAATCTGTTGTTGTTGTCACAAAAAAAAAAAAAAAAAAACCAAAACAAACAAATATCCGATACATCCAAAAACAAAACTCGATACATCCACTTAAAACACACAACGAAATGTGTCAATTATAAAATGGAACAAAAATCGAAAATTGCACGCATATAGTTGGGACTGTCGTCCGCTGCCATGGAACGTAACAAGACTAAGGAACAGTTGGAGGAGGAGAAGAAGATCTCGTTGTCGTTCCGCATCAAGCCCCTCGCTATCGAAGGCTTTGGCGAGCAGAAGCTGCGTGAGAAGGCCCAGGAACTGTGGGAGCTCATCGTCAAATTGGAAACTGAGAAGTATGACTTGGAAGAAAGGCAGAAACGTCAGGATTACGATGTGAGTAGCTAAAAATCTCTTTATATATATGACTGTAGACAGTGCCTACAATAAGTTCATATATGCCCGCAGTTGAAAGAGCTGAAGGAAAGACAGAAGCAACAGCTCAGGCACAAAGCCTTGAAGAAGGGTCTCGACCCAGAAGCTTTGACTGGCAAATACCCGGTAAGTGGCATTACTTTGATATATTTCAGATCGATCAGTTATTGACTATATCACTATTCGTTCTGTTTATATAGCCCAAGATTCAAGTCGCCTCCAAATATGAGAGACGTGTGGATACCCGCTCATATGACGACAAGAAGAAGCTCTTCGAGGGTGTAAGTATTCGGTTGGCCATTGCTGAGATTTCGCGTTGGCCGTGGGTTTTCTTACGAAGAACTTCTAGTACAACCACAACAATGGGTTCTTTTTTTTTTGTACTCTTCTCTCTCTCTCTCCCACTCTGCGTAATTATCCAATATAGGGCTATAATACGGTGTATGCGGAAAACTTAGAAAAGTCATGGCAAGAGAAACAGGAAAGATTCACTCAGCGCACAAAATGTAAGAGCGCAAAAGTGCAAAATGTTGCGAACTGTTTCGCTCTCTCTCACTCTCTCTCTCTCTCTCTGTCTGTTCAATATCTCAATGTTTATATATATTTGTTTATTTTTATTTACTTATCATTATTATTAATACTTTTGTATGTCTTTGTCCTTTGTACTGTTCTGTACTATTCGTACCTGCATACATGCTGTGTTCAATGTTCTGCCAAGGGCACCGCCAAAGTGACCTGACATCGAAATCGAAATCGAATCCATTGCGTCCACAATACAATCATTAGACAGTCAATTAATCAATCAGTCAGTCAGTCAGCTAGACAGCTAGCCAGATATATAGATGGGGTTGCCAGGCACACGACACGCGGTTAACGAAATCACACTTAACGTCTGTTCTCTCTCTCTCTCTCTCTCTTTTATCTCTTTCTATGTTCTGTTCACTATATTTTGTAATTGTTGTCAACTGTACTTGTGTGTGTTCCGTACACGTTCGCCACACACGCATACTATATAAACACAAACATACGCTAAACACACACTTTGGGGCGGCACAGGGCTGGGATGAGATCAGCAAGGATGTGAACGAGAAGATCTGGAACGAGAAGAAGGAACAATACACCGGCCGTCAAAAATGTATGTACACACTGCCTCTATTGCCCAGCCCAAACAACACTTGGCACTGTACTGTAGCTGGTACTATTTAGTCTGGTATTACTGTACCGCAGGGAGCACACTCCAATCGTTTCACCAATTTTGTTCATTGTCGTGCCATGTTTTCCATGTCTCTATGTGCCCGTGTGCTTAGATACCTTAATACTGATACTGATTTCCATATTTCACCACTCTATCCCAATATAGCCAAACTGCCAAAGTGGTTCGGCGAACGACCAGGCAAGAAGGCCGGTGAGCCCGAGACACCCGAGGGTGAGGAGGACGCCAAGGCCGATGAGGACATCGTTGAGGATGAGGATGAGGTCGAGGAGGAGGTCGTCGAGGAGGAGGACGAGGAGGCCGAGGAAGATGAAGAGGAAGAGGAGGAGGAAGAGGAGGAAGAAGAAGAGGAGGAAGAAGAGGAGGAGGAAGAAGAGGAGGAAGAGGAATAAATAAATAAATACAATTTTTTCGTAAAACTACATTTAAACAAAAACCAAAGAAGAAAAGAAACCAATGCCAACAATTTTAATAAAAGTAAAAGAATGAACTAAATACTCATTATTAGCTTATTCACACTACTCCAGAACAAGCAAAACATGAGAAACACCACTTTTTTTTATTGATCAAGAAATGTACATTTCTTCCAAATAAAACATCATCAACACCAATTAAAAGAAAAAGTAAAAAAAAAGAAGAAATTAAAGTGTTATACCATCATATCTATGAACCATTTTTTTCCAATTTAATGATGGGGCTGTGGCTGTGGTTCGATGATCTTCAGCGACAATTGAGTGGGCAAGTAGTCAGTGGGTTTATGGCTTGGTATTGCTTTGATATACTCCTAAAGCACATGAATAAGATGCCAGCTCAAGTTCCTTCTTCTGATTCATATGCGAGTAGCTTCAGCCTGATATATTATATGCGGCAGTATATTTGACTATATATAGAGTATGCTGTAGCTGTACTTAGCGTTAACTTTTGAGACTTGAGTATACTTGAGCATTGCTGGAAGATTAGATAAGAGCGAAATGCATCAAGTTTAGTTTTATGGATTATTGCGCAAGGTTAGTATTGGAATAAGCAGCATATGTACAGACGATTCTTCTTATGTCAAACCTGCGATTTTTCGAACCTCTCATTAATTAAAAGCTAACACAAGTCCCCTACAGAATCTCTGTAATATTTCAAACCTTAATTATTTCAAAGAGAGTCGACTATATTCGATTTTTGATTTTTAAGATTCTTAAGACTTTGGTACTAAATACATATACTCGTATACATTTAATGCGTGAGACAAGGTTGTCTCAATAACTCTTTTATATAGAAAAATTTGACTGTACTGAATTCTCTGTAGCTGAGCATGGATTATTTTCTTAATTGTTGGCTAACAAAAGAGGCTTATTAGGACGCAACTAATAATAACCGTAATAACCGGAATAAACAAAAACTAAATAAATACGCAAAAGTATTTTTAACTGTTATTATTTATTATTTGTATTTTGTTGTTGTTTTTTTTTTTTTCAGTTTAGAATATATTTAATATATTTTTATTTTATTTTATGGTTTCTTTACGCTTTCATCCTTCTCCTTTTGCCTGCTGCTCTTGTTCTTGTTGTTGTTGTTGTCTTTAATAAATATTGTACAATTCGCTTAGCTTAATCTATTATTTTGCGTGTGTTCTGTATATGCTATGTGGCTTATGTGTTTCTTATTGGTTTAATGACAGTTGTCGGTATATTGCATTTGTATTTATACTATTTTTCATGAATTCCCTTTGGATCTGGCAGCGTGTGCACGCGAACAGCTTAGTTACAATTTTGAGATAAATACATCAATTGAAATTTGCTAAACATTCATTAAGATTCATTTAGTTAGACATTTTTTAAATATTTTTTTTTTAAATATTTATTTTTTAAACTTTTTCCTTTTTAAGTGTATTTGAGCTTTGATTGTCTGTCAGCTGCAAGCACGCTGCTTCCCTTCACACCCACAATTTGTTGTTGTAGTTGTTTGTTATGACATTCACTTATATATGTATGTACATACGTAGTCGTAGCTATTCAATGCTTAGATATATCATATTGGATATTGGGTAAATATTTAAAACATAGTTTCCCCCTTAAGAAGCTAACAAAAATAGTTTACATTTAGATTCACAATTGATTTACGCATACAAACACAAACGCGTGTGCCACGAGAGTGAGGCAGACAGCAATATATTTGACAGATTTTTTTTTTTTTTCATTTCCTCTATAGTTTTTTGCTGTGCTAAATTTTTTGTTTTATTTATTTCATATTTTTTCCATTTTTTTTCCATTTATTGTCAGCAATTGTATTATTTAAAAAAACTCTTTTTAAGCAAATAAAAATAGTTTTGACTAAAAATTAAACAAATTGCCATAGACTTAAGCTAACGATAAGTACAATCTTGCTATCCCTTTCGCACACATACACACACACACAGAGACACACGCATACACCACGCACACGAGCGTGGGGACGGAGAGCAGGGCATCGGCTGTGTGTGCGTGCGTGCGTGCGTGCCACAGTGGCTGCTCTAAATAAACATACAAAAGGAAGACAAAAAGAGAAAAAAAAAAAACATTCCCCCGAGTTTATTTTAATTAGAATTAAGCCCTATAAACATCAACAGCTCTTAGTTATAAGGCCTAGGCGCATTTGTAGTCCTGTTTGTGTTTTTTTTTTTTTTTTTTTTTTTCAATTTTAATTATAAATACATTTATTTAATTATTTAGTTTTAAAGTCACACATATACATGCACACACTGTACGACACTTGTAACTTTAACTTTAATTAACTTTAGACATTTATATATGTATGTGCAGTATGCATATGATGCTACAACATTCAGTCAATTTATTGCAACAAAAAAAAGTTTATAAAAAAAAAAAAAGTATTTATATATATAATTATATTATGCTATGCTAAAAACTGTTTAAGCTTCTTCATTTCTTTTGCTTTGATTTCTTTTTATTTTTAACTATAATTTTGTATAAATATATAATATATGCACACTTGATTTTGTTGTTGTTAATGTATTTGAAATATCGTTATTAAAAGCTCTTTCAAATTTTTTTCTTGCTTTTTTGTTGTTGTTGTTGTTTGTTATTATAAGTGTTCAACATTATAAATGTGTACAAAAAAAATATGTATATATTTTTATATTGTTTGAGAGCTTGAGATTCAGAAAAAAAGTATTTAAACTAAAAAAAAAAAGTTTTTCATGAAAACTGTACAGAATTAATTAAATTAAAAAAAAAATTCAATAAAAATCAAATGTTGTTGTTCTTGCAAAAAACATTCATAAAATTCCTCTTAAAAATTGGCCAAGGGCCATATAAAAATTAAATATATATGTATATACTATATATTTAAATGTACATGTTACTCGCGTTCCTTTAACAATATTGTGGGAATAGTACTTAAAAGAGGAGCTTTAGCAGTGAGCGCGCCCTGCAACGAATTCTATTTTTATTTGTTATTATTTATTACTACAAATTTTTGTTTTTGGTGGTATTCGCTAAACATGTTTAAATTATGTTTACATCAATATTATGTATATATGTATAAAATTGTGTCTTCGATGCGGCAAATGTGTCTTTAAATCGCTAGAACGCATTACACACGCACACACGCACACTCGTGCGCAACTGTGGCAAAGATGTAGCATATATATATATATGTATATATATCTGCATATGCATATGCGTTTACTTGGTGTAATACAATTTGAAATTGGTTTGCCAACATTTGATGCTTGTCTGTTGCCATGCGCATTGTTGCTGTTGCTGATGTTGTTGATGTTGATGTTGATGTTGTTGTTGCTGTTGTAGTTGTTGTTGATGTTGTTACTGTGTGTTGTCGTCAGCTCAATGCTTGCCGCGTGGTAATCTTATGGGTATATGCGGATATCATGTGTCCTCAAGTGCGCCGACATATTGCTTGCCATTGTTATTATTGTTGTTGTTGTTGTTGTTGTTGTTGTTCTTTTTGTTGTGGCTGTTGCTGTTGCTGTTGAAGTTTGACGGCAGCTGCTTTATCGTGATGACATCCTTTGGCCTCTGCTGTTCCTGCTCCTGTTGCAGTTCCTGATCCGCCTGCTGTTGCTCTGTCATTATTTTATTATTATTATTCTCATTATTGTTGTTATTGTTGTTGTTGTTGTTGTTGTTATTATTATCATCCGTGTCCATCTGCAGCACTTGTTTCGCTTTACTTTCCCAGAGCATTCGATTGGCTTTTAGCTACAGCAAAAGAATAAGACGAAGAACATGAGACATATGAGATTAAACATGAATATGAATACGATTTATAGACACACACAGTCCCCCCTCCACACACTTACATACATATATGCTACTAGACACCCATGCACACATATGCACACATATGCAAATATATACGGAAATGTGCATATTTTTATTTAAACATCATTTCAGCTTCATATGAATGTCGAGCGAGCTGCAGCTGCTCGGATTATTTATAGTCTGTTATTTATGCATTGTTGTTGCTGCTGCTGCTGCTGTTGCTGTTGTTGTTATTGTTATTGTTTTTGTTATTGTTGTTGCTGCATTGCACATTAATGGGGGTTTAGTCTAGAGCTGGCCCCATCTATGCTCAAAGGATTATGCAGGCAGCCCCAAGGTAAGTGCTTCAGTCTTGACAAGCAAATTAATCGTCAATCAGAGCAGAGACACAAGCATATTGCACTTATTAAATCAATACGCTCTCTATGCAATCCAGCTAGATTTATGCATGCATACATACACACATACACACATACATACATACATATATTTCAGTGTACATTGATTGGAGTTGGCAAAATTAATTGAGCATGGCAAATGCTTTCATGCTCTGGCACGTCGCACGTTGGCTGCTGTCATTTAACACGCTTGTTCCATTAATTTTTAATTTAATTTCTCTCTTTATTTATTTATTAACTCATTTCATTTTTTTTTTTTTTTTTTTTGTGACAAAAATTTTGATAATGTACAGCCCAGAGCCATGGCGGCAGGGCGATAAAAATGCAATTTATTTTCAAATTTTGCAATTAACATAAATTACGCACATAAAATATAATAAAATAAATAATATATATATATATATATATAGATATATATGTGTATGTATATATGTATGTGTGTGTGTGGGTATTGAACTGGTAACATTTATTGCAGGCATCTCTGTTGCTGCTGCTGCTGCTGCTGCTGCTGGCATTTCAATTGCTAGTAAATGCATCGACCGCACAGGTATCGAGCTGGCTGCAGCTTAAATTGGCAGTTATGTCGAGCCATCCCAGCTCCACCAGAACCACTCAACCACCGCCGAACATTTCATCTGTGAAAATGCTGAATTTCGTGTTGTGACAGCTGCAGCAACAGTAACAGCAGCAGCAGCAGCAGCAGCAGCAGCAACAGCAGGAGCAGCAACAGGAGCAGTGTAAAAATCAAAGCTGCAGTCGAAATCATTTCAAATGCAACGCTTTCAACCGCAACAGCAACTGCAAGTGCAACTGCAGCTGCAGCTGGTGCAGCAACTGCGACACGTGCAACACCTGCAGCTGGCAGGCAAATTCAAGCGGCCAAGCGTAAGAGGCAATTCATGCCACAGCAGCCGCTGCTGCTGCTGCTGCTCCTTGTCTGTCAGTTGCTTGCAAATTTTAATTTATGAGCAGTCCTCGAGCAAATGTCGACCGTTTTCAGCTTTCAGCTTTCCAGTTGCAGTTGTCAAGCTTCAAGTGCATCGCCAGCCAGCTCGCTGGCAGTGGGCGGCAGGCGGGTGGCGGGTGGCGCGTGGCGGGGGGCGTGGGGGATGGCACTCAGCGACTCAACAAAGCTGCTCTAATTAATTAGCCGCTAATTTAACGCGTCTGTGGCAAGCAGCTGCGCAGGACTCTCAACTGAACAGGATATGCCTCTAGGTTGCCACACAGTGGCAGCAGCAGCAGCAGCAGCAGCAGCAACAGCAACTGTAGCAGTTGCATGTAATTTATTATTTGCCTCATAATGGAAAATTCGTTTGGCTTCCCGGGCTCGACGACTAAATTGCAACAAGAGCTATTTAATGCGCTGCGCGTATAGAGCCATAAATATTGTAATTTATATTCATATATTTTATATGCAAGCACACACACACACACTCACATATATATATACATGTATATGCTTATGGTATATATACATTTATATATGCTTATGCAAATCTGGAAAAGTCAGTGCTTGCAGCATTAGCTGCATTAATGAACAAGTCTGATGGCTCTAGTCGAGAGTATCCGGCGGACAGATACCCTGAGAGCCGAGCAATCAGCTCATGTGCCTCTACCAGCACCGTCCTGTGTGTGGTTGGCTAGCTTGCCTCTTTAGCATATGATCTACATATTCAATTGAATATTTGTCACTTCATTTATACATTTAGCGCCTTGGCAAAAACACGGACAGACAGGTGAGACAGACAGACGGGGCTAGATCGACTGGTCGCTCTGGCTCTGGAATATATGTATATACTCTGCGGGGCTATGCCATGACAGGGCTACTTTAATTATTAAAGCCATAATACCCTGAATGCCCATTGACAATGGGCTCGGGGCATAAAAAATGCAAACCCACAAATGAATGCAGAATATATTTATATGTGGGCATACTCTATATGAAATATATATGCATGAAAAAGTGTATATGTGTATGTATATATGTATGTACATGCATATAAATTGCCTAAGTGTGCCCTAAAGTCATGTATCTGATTCAACAATGGGTAGCCAAACGTCATTATTATCCGGGCTATCGATATGGCAGCACAACATGCATATGCACCAGGCATGTGTCGTGTTGTGTCTCTGTGTGTGTGTGTGTGTGTGTGTGCATGTGTGTGTGTGTGCCCTCAGGAAGCAGAGCTTCAAAAACCACAGCAACAACAAAAATGGCGACAATAGCAATGCATGTTTAAGTGCCTGGAATAAATAAAAATACAAAAAAAAAAAAAAAAAAAGAAGAAACAACAAAAAATAAAAGAAATATATATAAAAATAAAAATAGAACAAGTGCAAAAAAGGCGAGTGCAAGAAACAAACAAACAAACACAAAACAAAACAAAAAAAAAAATATATATATATAAAGTCGTGTGTAACAAGTTAGAAAGGCTCTCTCAATCGCTCGAGTTGACCAGCTCAACAGATACTCTATAAAGCGCAGGATTTGTAGATGAAAGAGTTGCTGTCTGAAATTCTTGGAGAAATTTTTGAAAAGTTTTCAATGCAAATGACAAATTAGTCAAGTTTTTAAAATGTTTTAATCAATTTAAGGACTTGAAGTCGTTTCCGTTTAAAGCGCTGCCCTCTCTCTCTCTCTCTCTCTTTCTCTTTGTGTACAATCGGACTAGAGACAAAGCCAGTTGACTTGATAGACCAACAGGCAACAGCAGCCACAGCAGCTGGTTGCATCGTAGTCAGCCCGCTTTAGCTGTGTGTTCCAGCTTTTTGTGCAAAAGAATAAGGAGAGCTCAACAGCACGTTATCTGCGAATATGGCCAACAATCGTGGTCACAAAGCAAAAGTGCAAAATATGGCAATGACAGAAGCCAACGGGAGCGACAAAGAGCCGAACAACTGCAACAACAACAACGACAACGGCAACAACTACTGTGGCGGCAAAAAGTGAAAAAAAAAAAAAGAATCGTGCAGAGCGAAAAAAAATGTAAGTGAGGATGACAATGAAGATGGCAACACAAAATGTTAACTGGAACGACAACAAAAAGGATGGCCGCCATGTTGAATGCTTTGGGGATATCCGGATCCGGACATGGCTGATCGGGGTGGCAGGCGAGAGCGTGAATGGAAATGGAAATGGAATTGGGTAATGGTCGAGAGGTTGGTGTGTCTGTGTGTGTGTGTGTGTGTGTGTGTGTGTGTGTGTGCCATTCCATGCCGGACCGATTGACTGACTGAACACATCTGACTGACGCTGCGACGCTGTCTGCCTGTCTGATTGTTTGTTGCACATACCTTAGATGTATTGTCCTGCACCCATGCATCTGGCTTACCGTAGTCCGGCGGATTCGCATACGGATCGTAGCCCAGCACGGAGAGCATGGGCGCAATGTCGGCCATGTCGCGCACTACATCGCCGGGTATATGGCCCACCCACTTGGACAGCGCCTCAAGATTGACCGGCTTGATGACCTGGTCCGATGACCGCTCCACTCTAACAAAAGGTGCATCAACAACAAAGTAAGAGAAAACGTTTGAGAATTTCGCAGAGTTTCGCAATTAGCTGATGGGGCAACCAAATGCTGCAGCTGCTACTCACTTGGACAGCGGCACACCGTTGGGCTTGTTGATGAACTCCTCGTGGTGCAGCACCGCACTGTTCCACGGCACGTCCAAGAACTTCAAAATCTTCCGCATCCACTCCTCCGGATGCAGCACCAGCTGCTCATAGTAGACCTAAGAGAAGGCAAAGGGGATCAAATGCATTTAGTAATTGCAATACAATGGAAAGAAAACATAGAAATAATTTTGAAAAGGTGTTTGAATAAATAAATAATAATAAATAAATAAGTTATAATAAATTAATTAAATTGGCTAAGGTTAAATGAATTATACTAATAATATTACTATTATAATAAGTTTATTATTAAACAAAATAATCGGAATATATATTTTATTTAATTACTAAATACTAGTCACTAATCAATAAATATAAATTAAATATATATTTAAATTACATATATATTTTATATTTAATGTTTACTATTGTTTTTAGCGTTACATAAAAAATAATTTGTACATTTTCTAAATTAATAAATTAGTTAAATTACTAATTAGCAATTAATAATAATTATTATTATTATTATTATTATTTTTTTGTAATTAAAGCTGAAATAAATTTATTTCATTTTGTTCAGCACTTTAATTATATTTAATGCCTCGCCAATTTCTAATTGACACTGAAATGTATTTTAATAAGAAAAAAAAAAACATGTTTTACATTAATCTGTTGACTGCCTTGATAACAATGGACCATGGCAATAAATTTCAATTTTGATGGCATTTAAATATATTTTATAATACACACAATGCCATAAATTTCAATATAATTACTCAAATTGCTCTGCTTTATGGGATTTGCAATTATGACTTTAATAACCAACAATTACAAAAACAAGTCAATACGCGGCTCAACATCAGGGCTGCAAACATTTTTATCGTGCTAATGATTAATGATTATTATAATTAAATGATGTCATTAAAATTAAAAATAAACAAAATAAAATATTATTGTAATTTACAATTAACTTGTGGGCAGTAAATTCACATTAAGTAAATTTCAAGTTGGATAAAGAGAATTACTAGAGATTTGTTGGATATATAGAGGAGTTTCTCATAAAAAGTGTGACCGTTTCTGATATTCAAGTATACTTGGGTTTGTGCCATTCTTCCTTTGATGGGAAGGATTCATAAACATCACAACAACGTCTGAGTGTCATGAGTTTTAATTTAACAATGATTTAGTTCTGCATTCGCTCAGATGTAGTCAGCGAACAGAAATAGAGGAACATGCGGAGAGAAACATGGGCAAAGAAACATAGAGAGGGCATAGCATAAGCATAGACAGAGAAACACAGGGAGAGCTCTTACAATTCACTTACTATTAATTATTACTATGTAATGCATTCAAATGATTTAATATTGCCTATGGAATTAGTTTTAATTAATTTGAAAGGATTTGCCATTTGACAAATAGCTTTGTCATTCAGTCAGTTTATTATATTAATATTGAATGAAGTTAAGAATTATCAGCTGAATTGCAGTTGTTGCGTTTAACTATTTCTCTATTGCTTGCGCTGTCTAGTTAAAGCCTGTGCTTAAGCTAAGGAGACTTAAGTAGAGCTCAAGGGCAATGAAGATGAAGATGAAGCAGATGAAGCAGAGTAAGCTAAGACTAAGTCTAAGTCTAAGCTTAAGTCTTAAAGTTAATACATATAAAGAAGCTTATCAAAATATAAATATAAGGATATAATAAAAATATAATTTATACTTATTTATTTTTAAATTATTATTTTAATATGCTGCTTTGAAATTCGTGCAGTTTAAAATAATTTCAATCATAAATAAATTAAATAAAATTAAAATGAGCTAAAATGTCTACACTGAACACACACATGATATTTTAGCATCCATTAAAAATTAAGTAACTTTTACTCTCTCTTTTTGTGTGTGTGTGTGTATGCCACATGTCCAGCTGACAACTGTCAACTGTCCACTGTCAACTGTCGCCTGTCAACCATCCGCCCTCACCTGGCTACTACTACTACTGCTCTCTCTCTTCCTCTTTCTTTATCTCTTTCTCTACTCACCATCATGCATCGATCCTTGCCAATGTCGCGGCACTGTTCGTGCATTAGCTCGATGGCGTGATTCCATTTCTGCATGCACTGGCGATAGCTGCTCAAATCGAATCCGGTGATTGTCACCTTGCGGGATATAATCGAATGAACCGTTGCACGTCCGTCCCGCACCATGAATAGGAATTTAGCCTACGTTAATTAGAGGGAAATACAAACAAATACTTTTAAATCAAGTTACAGTTCTCTCTCTCCCTCTATCTCTGTGTGTGTGTATATGTGAGGGGGTGTGGCATGTGCTTACATTGGGAAAGAGCTCGATTACATAGGAGCCCATTTTGAGAGTCAGCGGATCCTTGTTACATAAGCGCGGCGCCGGTTCACCATGCTTCGCAATGATTTCCAAGCAGAATTGCGCGATGGCACTGTTCATGACCTCCTTGGTGATGCCCGCCTCCTGCAGGCGCAGCGATTCCTTTTCGGACTTCAGCCAGTGCGAGCGCAGCTGCAGAATGCGCGGAATGACGCGCGTCTCCTGCCCGCAGCTAAATGGATGAGACATACAAAAGCGAATAAGCAAAAGCCGGGCAATGCAGCAATGCAGCACAGCAGGAGCAGCTGCACCAGTAGACCGGAAGGATAAATGGAAGGTAAAATATGGGCATGTGTTTGTGTGTGAGTGTGAGTGTGAGGGGTGGGCCGTAGTGGAACCATGTTGCAAAACAGCGAAACAACAATGATGTTTGATATCGCTGGATTTTGAAACGCAGCGTGCTCCATGCCCGCATCACGCCTCAAAACAATTCAGCTTTGGGCTTTTGCTAATGCAATCGACTAAATGGTTAGCGCTCACTTGACTCGCCTCTCGCCTCTCGCCACTCGCCTCGAATTGCTTCTGTTGCACTCAACAAAGCACAACATTGAAGCGTTAAATTGCAAAAAATTCGAGCAAACAACAAGCTCGCCGTTCCTCGCCCTTCCTCGCCCTTGCTCGCCCCACCCCGACCCACTCTTGGCCCGGCCGGCAGTTCTTTGCGTAATTCGCGAATTAACAGCATCCACTCGGCAATTGAGCAGATGCCGTTGGACAACAATTTAAGGCAAGTGCCGGAGCTGTAAAGGACTTTGTCTAGCCACAGCCCCCAGAATTTGTGCAAAATCAATTAGGCTACGTACGTCCAGGTCAGTTGATGCTGAAATATTTTAATTACATTCCCTGAATGCAATAATTATGAATTCTTGTGGCGCACGAAATGCCAGAGGCGAGAGGCGAGAGCCGAGAGTCGAGGGGCGAAGGGTGAGAGGCGTGCCGGCATGCACAACTCTCTGTGCATGCGAGAGTGAACTGAACTGAATTTCAGTTAAAGCAATTAGGCCCGATATTTAATATAAAAGCCGGACTGGCTAATAAATGTTGCATACTTTACTGAGAGACCGACGAAAGGCCATTTAAATCAATATTGGGTGCAAGCAAACAAGGTAGAGCAACGACAAAATTATTTTGCCCAAGAAATGTTTTTTTCCTTTTTGTGAAATACAAAAATCAAATTTTGTTGACAGACAAAAATTGGGATTGCAAATTTCAAGTGAAATTCCTGAAAAACCAATTTAAAGTGACAAATTTTGGCTGGAAATCTAAGCTAGAAATTTAATAAACAAAATCATATTATTTATTTAAGATTTTCATAGAAATATTTTAGGCAATAAATTAATGTAGATATGTATGTGTAAATAATTGAAATTTTAATTTTATAGATTTCATTTTTATTGCTTAGAATGCTAGGAACATTCGGCATTTGAAATAAAGTTTATAAATATTTATATATACATACAAAAATATTTATACAAATATATTTTTCAAATTTTAAAAAAATTTTAAGATTTCAAACAGTCAACGTTTTGATACTCGGCTTATATATTTATATATTATATGTTTACATATCTTAATTGCCATTTTACAAATTTCAAGCTTTAAGTAAACAGATCAAAAGTTGTTATTCTAATTAAGATGAACTACATTATATAGAGTTAATATACTCCTTTCATCTTGTGATCGACCTTATAAAGAAAGAATCTGAGAATCTGTTGGCTCTTGTCTATATCAGAATCTATATGTCTTCCTTCATATCCACCTATGTGATCTCTGCATTAGCTGTTCTTAAAGTCAGCCGAAAACTCCTGCTTTCATATTTCCAATTATGATGAACTGTATTACTCATTTCATCTTATGATCGGGCATATAAAGAACGAGTTTGAAAAATCGTTTGTCTGTTGTCTAATCAATATCTATCTATCTTCATTGATATCCCTATGATATCATAGCTCCATGCTCATGCATATCAAGTTGCTTGTTGAATGCTCACTTTTCGCCACTTGCATGCCGTGCCAGGGACTCTCTATCTCTCTCTATCGCATTCCTGCTAGTATTTCAAATGGCTTTATTGCTCTGCGGAATCCATTTGCTCGTTATTCACTGAGGGCCATTTGAGCGTGTTGCGCAAGCAAACTGCCAACTGTGGACATTTGTTGGCCAGGCATTGGGCTTCGGATGCCACGAGTCGCTGGCAAATTCCACAATTTTCTAACTCGAGTTAGACAAAGCCGGCGGCAAAGCTCTACAAATATATATAATCTTGGAGCAATTACATGCGCGTGGCTTATATGCAAATCGGACGAACAAAAGCTAACGAGGCCAGCGCAAAAACATTGGATTCATCCCTACAGACACACACACACGCACGCACACATGGCTGCTCGTATCTGTGTCTGTGCTGTGCAGGCGTATCTGTATCTGCGCTGGCACAAATTTAACTAAAGGCGTCCCTGGCTCTTGCGGGGCGGAAGTAAGTTTTTAAATAGCGGAAATTGTGCTGTGCAGCCATCAGAAAAAGTGGCGCTGACTGCTGTCAGCAGCCGGCAACCCAGCAGCCCAGCAGCCCAGCAGCTCCAGCAGACCCAGAAGTCGAGGAGTCAGCAGTCGGAATTCAGTGCACAGAGTGAGAGAGAGAGAGGGCAGGGGAGAAGTGGCGTAAAATGCAAATTGTTAATAAAATAAGCAAGCAAAAGTCAACACCTAACGGACCCCATAGCCTTTTGATGTCCTTTGTATCGCCGTAATGCAGTCTCTCTGTGCTGTGGCACGCCCTTAACCTGGCTCGCTGTTTCACTGGCTAACGGCACAAAGGAGACGTCAGCAGCGCAAAAATTCGTGGCTAATTACTCATGCGTAGCATAAACTTAATAAACTAATTCATGCTCTGACGCCAGAGCCACAGACATAAATCCAAAGTTACCCGCTCTTTTTGGTTTCCCCGCCCCTCCCCCCACACTCATTCAATTGAAAAAGGCGAAGCAAAAGCACCAACTGGACAGCAGGTTTTAGCCATCCATCATTTCAGACAAGTCCCCGGTGCCACGACGCGTCGCCGGCTATCTATCGTGTAATACATATATAAACGATAACATTTTGATATAGCTGCAAAATAAACAAACACCTGCTACGATGATTACGTGCTGTACAGTTATTTTGTGCAGCGCTTTAGCAGCTATTATCATTTACATAATTCCTGTTTGCCTACAAGCTAATTATTTAGCAATACAATTAAGAGGATTAACTTCACGTTAAGTGTTTGACTAGCACTTAGTAGTAAATCATTTTAATTACTCTTCAAGTGACTCTGAGTCATTTGATAAAATTGTTCTTCGGGCATAAGTGTATGAAATTGCTTTCCATGAAAGGAGATTCCAGCAGCATATCAGACGACAAATATTTAAGCATGCATATGGTACATATAAAAGCTATCGAGTATATACATAAGAAAATACTTGACAGTAGACAGAAGCGGGGTTATAGATTTTGGAATAAAAGGCGTAGTTTTCCAACTCATACAGCTCAGCTCGGCTTGGGATGTTGTGTAATGATTGATGATTGTGCATTAATATAAGTACAGCATAGATTGCTGTAGCTCATTTATCTGGTCTCTCGAACTGCTCTGAACCTTGCCCATCTATGGTAAGAACTGTCTCTTAATCAGCCAGGTTCACTCTAAGGAATACTTGAATACTCTCTATCAATAGTTGTCGGCATATCACAAGTATAGCCTTGGTAGTATTAAATCTATATGAGTATGAAATTATGAAGTTCTTATATAGTAACCTATGCTGCATTGATGAAAAGCGAATGAAAAGAGAATTTCGTACTTAAACTAATTTAAGGCACTGTCGCCAAGGCTTGGTCTGATGAACATTATTCGGATTAAGAAACTCAACCGCTGATTGTCACAATCTACCAAATGCACCGTATCATAAATCAGTTAAAAATGGTGGTAAAGTTCAATAAAATTGACTGTGATTCACTTTCTGCTCCCGGCCTGTCCCCCAGGAACTATTTTCTGTTCTCAGACCTCAAGACTATGCTCGGTGGGCTAACTAAATACAAACTGTAGTCGCTATAATCGTAATATTGCTCCAATTTTCATAAGTAAAGTATATTATTTCTTCCTACGTTAACCAAAACTTTTCGGTTCAAAAAATACTATATATAACTGTATTATATTTAGAATAATATTGAATTTCTCATCGCTGCTAGTTGGAGGAATCCAATAATAATGTGCCTTAGCCAGTCGGACATATTTGAAAAGTGTATGAACATGCAACATAAAACAGTTTCTTGTGGCTGTCATGTAAAGCTTGACCTGTTGCCTTTGTTAGCCCCACATTGTGAGTCAGGCAAGCCATTCAGCCATTCGTATGGGGTTGCGTGGACACAAGTGAGCTGAGTGCTGAGTGCCGATTGTGGGCCGGCTTTCAAGTATGTGTTGATGATGCAGGGCGCTGGGGAGTTAGGGAGTTGGGGAGGGGGGGGGTCAGTAGGCAGCCAGGGAGCAATGTTGGTTGCTTGTTTTTGGGTGTAAACTTACCGCACATCGGGATGAGCATCCAACATGGCGCGCATTAATGTCGTGCCAGACCTGGGCACGCCACCTATGAATATTAATGGCATCTCACGGTTGTATGAATAGGAGCGTTGATTGTCATCTGTGACGTATTTCTAGATGGTGAACGATGGAGAGCCGAGCAAATATAATAAAAAAAAAGTAGAAAAAAAGCAGCAGGAGGGGAAAAAGAAAAAAAAATTAAATTAGAGAAAAGTTGCAGGCAAAAATTACGTGTGTCTCCACGACGATAATGATGATAATTATGAGAATGAGCAGCTGCTGGCGGCGAGCCTGAAGCATAGCGACGATGTCGCCAAGGTGCCCCAGGCAGCTGTCAACTGAATTTGCGTGGCCCCACACTCACATATACATAGACACACACACACAGACACACATACATCTAAGTTTATCTACGTGTGTGGGTATTGGTAACAGCAGCCCGTTAACCTTTGGCGTGCCTGTCGCATTAATGTCAATTTAAAGGATTTTCGTGCTCAGCTAAAAATGCTTGGGCCCAGGCGTTCTACTCTAGAATCTAAGCCTCTAATACGAGCCGCTTTAACAACTTACTCAATGCGAACAAAATATGCGTGAAATTGTGTTAAGAAGAAGGCAAAATATTTGAGAAAATATTCGAAATCCAACTACTCTAGGCAAAGAGATTTTTGAGTTATTAGAAAGTCTTACGATTGAAGTATCGGATAGAAGTTATAGGAATATGTTAGGAGTACATAGTAGCATATGGCAAATACATATATCGCATAGAAGTTATAGTGGGCTGAAAATGGAAATATCTGATTTATACATAGAAATTAAGGATGACTGCCAGATATACTAACACTAATATATAGCAGAAAAATTAATATGGAATATGGAAAAATTTGGTTGTAATGTCGCATGGAAAAATCGAAGCTATCGTATAGAAGGTATGGAGCTCTGTTAATAAAACTATTAAGTTTTTGGATATATCGCATAAAAGTAATAGAAGTGTGATGATGGAAATATATCGCATTGGTATCGATAATAACTTAATGTAAATATCTGGCAAATATATCCCAGAGAACTTAATGAGGCCTGTTAAGAGAAATATCCGACAATTAAATCGGATTGAATTTAATTTGAAAAATATTTCGCATGGAAGTTAGAGCAATCTGATAAGGGCCTGACCGATACATCGCATATAAGTCAATTTAAATATCTGGGTAGCATACTGATTCCAAGTATTTGGCTTATATATAGCACGAATACACTACTTAGCAATGAAACAACTAACATAAGTCAACGCCATAAATAATAAAACTCAGAGCTGGGAAGCTTTACCATCGCATTTACTTTCTGTGGTATTCTGGCTCTGTGTATTCTATCACAGCTGTTACACCATTTATGAGAAATGCAGGGTCCTCCCCTTTCGAGAGTGTATAACAACACATTTTGTTGTTTGCTGAGAGATTCGGCAATTGGTTAACACTGTGGTTTCTTCAACTCCAACTCCAACTCCACCTCCGCCCACCGCCCATCCAATTCCGTGGCTGTTAGTCAGCACTTTTAATCGATCCGATAAGGCGAAATTCTAGCTGGCTGTTATTCGTTCGTCCGTCCGTCCTTATCGGCTGACTGCTTTGATGAGATAAGAATGCGACAAGCGCAAACAGAATGTTCCCCAATAATGAATTATTGATCAGAGCAATTTGATTGAATTGGGGCCAAACACACACGCACACACACTAAGTTGGGTCAAAAGGCTTAACTGCCTCAATAATGATGCAACTTAAATTCAATTAACAAGCAACAACAACGGAAAGTCTCACATCTCTCGGCATTCGAAAGCGCTCCGACTGCAGTCAACTAATCTAAGTTTAAAATTGAAAAATTGGTCGAAACTGCAGTCGGCATTGTGGACAAGTCCACTGCTCGAGTATATCGAGTGAATATATATTGTGAATGGGTATGTCGTGTGTTGTGAATGGGTCTGTGCTTGCTTTCCACCTGATCGGCTTCCAGCTGAAGTGTGTGTGTGTACAGTGAATCAACCACAGTGGGCACGATTGGCCAACAAACAAAATGAAAAAGAAGAAGAAGCTGAAAATTGCAGCTCTTGTTGCCATTTGGTCAACTAATGTTTACAAAATGGTGTTCGGCCAAGCGATAAGCAGCAAATCCCCCAATGACTTTGCATCGCTTGCGGTTAGGGTCAGCGTGTGCAGTCAACATGAAATTAGTTATACAGTCCTTTGGGCTCCCAGATGCGAGCGCCACATCTATATCTATCGATGCTCTCTCACTATGCTGGCCGCAATTTGATTTATCATTCGCCCCTAATACCTAACCCTATCTATATAACCTAAAGTGTAAATAAACTTGAGCTCGATGTATGTGTGAGTGTGTCTATATATAGCCTATATATACATATTTTTATATATACATATATATATTTGTGGAATATATACATATATATGCTTACCTGTATACGCACCATTTGTGATGGCAAATCGTTTGTGGGGTCCAGCTTGAAGAGACAGGTGGGGCGCAGCTCGGTGAATTTGAATAGGAACATTGTGACGACAATTATGCCAAAAAGCACCCAAAGGGTGATTTTCTTATTGCGATATGGCAGACGCATCCTTTCCAGCTGCTGGCGGCGGCCAACTGAGGTGTGAAACTAACTGCTTTTTGATTTCAATCCCAATCCAACGGGCAGCTGACTGACTGCACTTGAGCCGTCTATTTGTATTGCCTTATTGATTCAAATGGCTGACTCACTGACTCACTAACTGACTGACTCACTGTCTGCCCGATTGTCAGCAGTTGGCTTCTGGTTGCCGGACGCTACAAGCTTAAATATGTAAATTGGTTTCTTTAGCTGTTGCCTACAAGTTTTCGTTTGCTTTCTTCAACAGTTGCTGCTGCTGCTTCTATTTGCACTTGAATGCCTTCAGCTGCTGTTGCTCTTGTTGTTGTTCCGGTTAAAATTACTGCCGTTTGTTGTGCTTAGCGTTGTTGCTGCTGGCTTTAGATACCACGGCTATGATTGCGTCTTTGGCATTCGCTTTGCTTCTGCTTCAACTGCTTCAGCTGCTGCTGCTGCTGCTGCTGCTTCAGCTCCTGTTTCTGCTCCTTTATCCGGTGCTGGTGCTGCTGCTGCTTCTGTTTATGATGTTGATTGCTTTGCATTTCCTTGACTTGTCCTCGGCGTCTCACGAGCTCCGTGCGGTCAGCGTGGACCAACAGTGGCATCAACTAACTATGTGATTTCAATATTCTACAGGCAACTACAAAAATTCCTAACAGCTGCCGCCTGAGCTTTGTGTTGTGTGTGTGCGTAGGTTTTTTCCTCTCTCTCTCTCTCTCTCTCTGTCTGCGCTCTTCCGTTTTCTCTTTTCTTCTTTTTCCGGTTAATTTTGTTATTTATATCGCTTACGTTGCTTTCATACTCTGTTCTCTGCGCTAACTGCGCTATTTTTATTGAATTTAAACATATTTACTTAGGCAAATTATGTTTTATATACTCCGTTATGCACGGCTTGGGCAAAGGACATGCGCTTAACGATCTCTTCAGCTTCTCGTTTCGTACACTTTTTATCTCTATCTCTATTCCTATCTCTATCGCTATCTCTTTTTATTTGTATTTGCCTCTCGCTTCAATTTTTATTTTTTATTATTATTATTATTTTTTTTTTTTTTTTTTTTTGTATTCCCAGCGTGTCGTCCGGATGGGTCCTTGTCAGTGAGAGCGTTGCTGCAAGTGAAAAACTTCAGTCATAAGCATATTTAAATAGTTTTCAAATTATTTGCAACCGACTTTGTGTATGGATGCAACGACGAGGCCAGGCCTGACTGCCTAGCTGCCTGGCTGACTGTCTGACTGACTGTCTGACTGGAGCTGAAAATTGGGCTGAGCCTGCAGTGCTCAGAGTCCTACACTTCGGTCCTTTACGCGCACTCAACGACTTTCGACTGACAGCGGCGACTGCCTTCAAGTGACTACGCACCTTTTAGAACAGCAGTTTCCAACTTCGGCTTCAGCTCCAAACTCTCAACTGCAATTCCAATTTCAATTGTGATTATGACTCCGCTGTGTTGGCTGCTCACTGCTTGGTGTTGTCTGGCAAGTGTTGTTGTTGGTGTTGTTATTGTTGATGTTGTTGATGGCTGGGATGTGTTGGCTGTGCGTTGGCTATTTGCTCAGTTGTTCACAAATAGCTGCCAGCCCAAAAACTTAATGAGCTGAAATGCCAAATAGACTGGAACCAACGTTAGTGATATATACACATAGTAGCTCCAATTGCCGGTTATCTCCTCCGTCATAGCTGTCAATAGAGAGAAAATGAAAGGTAAAAGTATGCGAGCCTCGATTAAAACAATTGTCAAAATACAAATAAACTAAATAGAAAAGATACTTCGACGACAGCCACACAAGATACACAACGACAAAGCAGCCAAACGGCTCAGACAAACAGTTCGATGGGACTGCAAACAAAGCCAAACAACAATGATATATTGTATAACATATTTATATACATGCGTGTGGATATTCACATGCATATATAGAACTATCCGTAAGTAAAGACAGCAACGTGTGTAAATAACAGCAACGCATGCATGCATGCATATAAATGTATATATGTTGTGTCTATCTATCTGCTGGGTATATTTGATTAGAAACATTTATAAATTCCCTGCCACATACATACATACGTACATACATATGCATATACAATGCAATATGTCATATAGCAGACATGAGCGTGACTTGTGACATGCATGCAGTGGAGCACCTAAGCCGCTTACTGCCACAACGGCCAACCCTCGATACCAATCCCGATTCCACATCCACATCCACATCCACTTCCAATTCCCATTCCAATCCCCACAGCTAGCGCGCTGCCAACTGATATCAGCTGAGCAGTCGAGCAGTCGAGCAGTCGAGCAGTCGAGCAGTTGCTTGCAATTCTAGTGCTCAAGTGTCGACCTTATAGTGGTCATATACTTAGTTGAGTACATGATGCCAGCTTGACATCCGTCACAGCATCTACTCGCCCGTCCGGCGACATTCGCCAGGGCAATGGCTGGCACTTCAAGCTAACCAAACCCAGACCCAGACCCAGACCCAGTCGCACTTGGCATTGCCTGCGGCTTCACAGCTGCAAAAGTCGCACAGCTCAGCTCAGCTGCTATAGACCGCCTAAGTAGCTCTTATTTAACAAGTTCGAATTAGAGAGTGAAGAGCACTTAAATCCATATCTTATCAATTTTCGCAAAATGCGAACCGTAAATGAGTTCTAAATTGATTCTGACAAATTTTTTGATTGATTTCCCGCTGGAACGTTAAGAGCCATACAAATAGAGTCACAACTTTATGATTTATGATGTGAGTTGGGAACTAAATAAATTCTCTCTATATGTATCCTTTTCTAACTTTTTACAACTTTTTAATAGTTTTATTTAATTTCCTTTTTATTATTTTTCAATTTATGTTTTCTATATTTTTATTACTTTTAAATATTTTTAATTAATTTTAGAAATATATTATTTTTGTAATATATATTTATTTCCCCAGTTTATATTTATTATGCTCAACATATATTTATTTTATTATTATTATTATTTATTATTTAATTTATTTATTATTATTATTATACCCTGAACCCATTGAAAATGGGAAGTCAGGGTATAATGGTTTTGTTGAAATGTATGTAACAGGCAGAAGGAGGCGTGGCAGACCCCACAAAGTATATATATTCTTGATCAGGGCGACGAGCTGAGTCGATTTGGCCCTGTCCGTCTGTCTGTCTGTCCGTCTGTCCGTATGTTTGAACGCGTCGATTTCCGAAGATATAAGAGCTAGTTTTTATACTCATTCACGAAAGTGAATCAGTATATTGGTTTTGTGCAATGTCCGTCTTGCTGTCCGTCCGTCTGTCCGTCTGTCCGTCCGTCCGTCTGTCCGTCTGTCCGTATGAACGCAATCTATTTCGGCGCTATTGAAGCTAGAGACTTGAAATTTGGAACACATACTCGTGTATATCTCCGATTTATAAAGTGTTAAAATTTTCACGATCCGCCCACTAGGGGCGTAGCAAATCGGAAAATGCATTTTCCAATATACCAGAAATCATGTTTGTTGAAGAGCTAGAAAGCTGAAATTTGGTATGTAGGTCCGCGTTGACCACCCAAGATCACGAGCTATGGCGGATATATCTACGCCTATTGGGGGCGTGGCAAATCGGATAAAACTGTATCTCCTAAAGTTGTAAACCTAGAATGCTGAAATTTTGCACGTCAGCTAATGGTATGATTCTATAAAGTCTGAAGATAAATTATAAGTCTACGCCCATTGGGGGCGTGGCAAATCGGGCCTGAAGATATAGTGATATTTTAAATTCTCCTATATTTTGGACACTATTGATGGCAGAGACCTCAAATTTTGTATATATACTCGGACTGATCACCCAAGACCAAAAAGTTTTGTCGGATATATGTCCGCCCACAGGGGGCGTGGCAAACCGCAAAAGTTTATATCTCCTAAAGTGTAATAGCTAGAAGCTTCAAATTTGGATAGTTGAGTTACTGGTAGCCTCCTCTATCGATTCCCCAAAAATAATTTTTACGCCTCTTTAGGGGCGTGGCATATCGAAAAATACCCTGTAATTTTCACATTTTTTGAGGGTAAGCATTCAAACTTTGCAGTTAGGGTACCGTTATCTCTTTCTAAAAACTGACCAAAAATGAGGTGTCTACGCCCAGTTGGGGCGTGGCAAATCGGAAAAACCTGTATATTCTACAGTATTAGAGCGAAACTTAACTACTAAATTGTTAATGGGATGTGAATGAGTATTCCGCAGTCGGTAACGCCCGACTGCAACGTTCTTAATTGTATTTTTATATATTTTATAAAATACTTTTTCTCTTTACTACTGTTAGATATTAATTCATTTTCTGTGTAATTCATTTTAAATTGTATGTTTTTTTTTTTATTATTTATATTTAACTACTTGATTATTATATAATTTGTTGTTTTTCTAATGCTTTGACTGGGCATCTGCCTTTAATTTAGGGCATGCAGTTTTTATCTTGCGACCGCAGGCTTAGTCAGCTTGTCCGTATTATCTTTTAATTAGTATTTAAGTGCTCGAGTGTTTCACTGGATGTTTGGCTGAGCAACTTTCGTAATTTTCATCTTATAAACACTTTCGACAACTTCCACCTGCGGTCGACGAATCACTTTTAGTTTCCTTTAGTCTTCCTTTTTCCCTCTCTCTCTCTCTCTCTGTCTCTTTCGGTTTTTTTCTGGGAAAACTGTTTTTCAAACTAAACGTATTTGAAAAGCAAGCAAATTGCTTAGTTTTCTTCTGCCACCTTCTTTTATTCTATTCACCTTATCGTTTTTTTGCCCCTTTTGCTTCTCTTCTACTACTTCCCCGCCCAATAAATTCGACTCCGCATACATGTGCACTGGCTACGAGTTCCGTCTACTTGTTGGACAGTTCCTAAGCAGCTCTCGGCCGGTCAGGATGCCAACTGGAAGCGGATAAGAACTCCCGGACAAACCTCAAGTATGCGGCGAGCCGTGCACCGCCTTTTTGATGTTATGAAGCAACTGTGTGGGCGTATATGAGTGTGTGTGTGCTTACACATACACATGACAGGCAGGACCGTTGTTTATATACTTTCTCGCTGGCCTTCCCTGACTATGCCTGAAATACGTTGGAAAATAGAGAAAAATGTTGCTCTTGCCATATTTTGCATAGTAAAACTAACTGAGCTTATATATTTACATGTAAACCAAAAATGCTGCAATAGCTTTACTAACCGAGCTGAGGCTATTCGCACACAGTTCGCCCTCCTATGGCTCCTGCTCTACCTCCGCCTACTTCTCACTCTTTGCTCATTCCGCCGTTGAGAGCAGCGCCCAAAGGCCCCGAAACTTTTTAGAGCAAAATGACGCCCCAACTGAGCCTCCCGCCCCTCACCTTATTGCAGCGCTCGCCTTTGTGTCCGCTCTAGCTGCCAGCGCAAAGAAAAACAAAAACAAAAGCAAAAAAAAAAAAAAAAATTATAAACCAACAACAAAATATAAGTTGGAAATTTTGTTTGAAGAGGTGCCCAGCCCCATACCCACCCCAACCGCCCCGCCGCCCCGCCGCCCACTTCTCATGATCGCCAAGCACCACTACTATTCAGTGTGTGTTTGTGGGTGAATGGTAAACATGCTGGAACCTTAGAAAACGCACCGCCAAGTGCTGCTGTTGTTGTTGTTGTTGCTGTTGTTTTTAGCTGCTGTTGTTCATCGCTCATGTTGCTGGCGGTTTGCTCAAGTGTCGGACAAAGTCTTGTAAAAATTAATAAGCGTGTAAATTTTATTGTATTGCCAAATAGCAGTCCAGTCTCACTCACACACTGCCACATATGGGCCACCAAACGGCATAGTACATTCACACACACACACACACACATATATATATACAGCCAGACATTAAGTTTTGTGCATGTGAAGACTTTTGCTTTATTTGATGGTTTTTCGTCTAGCAGTTTTCTTTTCTCATTTTTTTTTTATATTTTATTTTTTCCCAACTTAAGCTTAATGGCATCGCATTTTGTTTGGCTCTTTGAACAGTGTCCACAAATGCGCACGCAGTAAAAAATAATAAGTTCTTAAGAGTATATAATACTAGACGTTAGCAGAGCTTTAGATAGAGCTACAAAATTGCAATTGAAAGAGGCAGAGATAGAGAGAGATATGCAGAGAAATATATATGCTGAAGGTACTAAGAGAAAAGGATGGAGAGATGCACAAATCGAGATTGAGATAGAAAGAGAGAGGGAGAGAGCTAGAGGTACAGAGATAGATGGAAAGAGCGGTAGAGTATCTCTCTAGAGATCGGGATGAAGTGACATAGAGAGAGAAAAAGAGAGGAATAAGCAATGAGAGAGGGAAGGATAGATATGGAGAGTTATATAGATAACTAGAGAGATGGATAGAGTGAGAGAGATAGAAAAGAGAGGAGAAAAAAGAGGAAGATAAAGATATTGAGAGATATATAAGTATAGAGAGAGATATAGTTAAATAGAAGATATAAAAATATATGGCAAAATATTTTTTGAGAGATATACAATTGTTGTCTTCAGAGTGTTCGCAGCTGTTCCCGAGTTGAATTCCAGCTAAAAAATATTCTTTCAATGTAGCTCCAACTAAGCAAATTTATGCTCTTGATTTTTGGCTGTTAATGGTCGAGATTTGCTTTAGAGATTTCGTTGAGATTGCTTTAATGGCTTTTCTAGCGTCCCTTGCACCACTGTGGCATCAATGGCTG